TAGAATAAGAACAAATAAAATAAATCTAATGCTTTAGAATCATCTAAAAAGGCGGAAATGTATGTTATTGAAGTTCTACTTACTCCCACAGGCAGAATTTGAAATTCACAATTTGCAGTTCACACAGTTCGAGGAGGTGAAATTTCGTCAGAGTTTTCTTTGGAGACCAAAACAATTCAGATCATAGTTCAAGGTGATTTCGCCTACAAATGTAAATTCACTATAACGCATTACCAGTTCTCTTAAGTAGATAGTCAGAAATCAGTTGGTTCGCACTGATTTGGCTAACTAGGCCGAGTCAGACTAAGTGCACAGCTGACGAGCTTGGCTCCAAAAGAGCAGAAAGGCTATCCTTTGCTTAAATCACTTTGATCTCGCTAACAAGTACCCCTGATTGATATCAGTAGTATCTAACTACTCTTCTCAATCAATCAGTAGTATACAGTTTCAAGCAGAGAATTAAAAAGTTTACATTCCAGTGATACTTGTGTAAGCAATCCTGTACCATTTTTGTTTGAGAAGCTTAATTTCTCATTATTTACTTCATCAAGAGATTAGAAAGTCCACTTGAAGTGGAAATTTCAGTAGTATTCATTCATGAAATAATTGTCATCTAATTAGCTGGGTTTTGTCACCCCTCCCTACATCAGATAAAAATAACTTTATTCTTTAACACATGCATTCCAGTAGGTTCAATGTCGACCTTATTTTAGATCAAAATTTAATGTGATCACTAACAGCATTTATGCAATGAATTATTTCTTTCAATTTACTTATTCAACGCGTTGTTTACTGTCCAAATATGAAAACAAAATAATTGCAAATATTTATGCTATATGTATATGTATATACACAAATATGTACATTACTAGTTTTCGCGTGTTTTCCTCAAGGCTGAGCTTATTGACATACTGATGAAAAGACTATACATATATAGTGGATATTTAGTTTAGCTCGATTTATGGACAAACTCACAGGATAAATGCGTTTGTTTAATATTTTGTACACAGGGATTGAGAAAAACATGTTTTCATGTATCTTCCCCTTACTTCATAATCTTGATTACATTAAAATGGGGATTATCATTCAGGAGATACTTTCACTAATGTATATTACGTTTCATGGAGATAATAGGTAGGATACCTTGAACCGGCCTATATGAATGGTATACAACAAGTCGTTTCAGTCAATGACTAGTGTATAGTGTTATTGCATTTATACCTGGTTTCACATTTTATAATTATCTGAATAAAGGTAACTATGGTGAAATTTTATCCCGCTGAACTGTGTAGATTACAAATTAAATTGCAAATTGAGAATTTAATCTAAACTTGCTAGTGATTTATTTGGCCTCCATTAGGACTGTCAGTGTTACATTCGTTGGTCACTATATCGTTTTCAATGTCATGTGTCTGGTCTTTCAATGTAGGTGCTAAATGATAGAGTTCGATATCAGTCTAACACATTGTGATTTCCCTTTATTTTCCTCATCTTCATCATTCGGTGACTAAAGATTAAACTAGCTCAAGCCGTTTGCAAGATAAACTCTTACTGCAGATTCTAAATAACGTGGGCATTCCATAGATATCCATAAATACGTCATGAACCTGTCCTCCATGAATGCTTGTTGTCTGAAAGTCACTGTAAAATGAAACAAGGACGATAAGGTTTACCCAAACTGGTAGTATATATATATATATATATATATATATATATATATATACCATTAGAATGAAGCTCCTCATAAAGAATGAATAGATTTTTAAGTGGTATTTTGTGGGGATTTGGTTCCAGGATTCCCTAATGAAGCCACATCGTTCAAAGGACTATTGGAAAACCTTGGAGTAAATGGACAAATGTTTCTCCCTGATTCGGAACTCTTCATCAGTACACACACATCTGAATTCGAACCCAGGACTACCCTAGTTACAAGACGATTTTATAGACCATTAAGCCATTGTGATCTTATCCAATGGCCAGCCCATGAATTGCGTTTCCCGCTAATTCACGATATGACGCGACCACTAGTGAATGTCACGCATGTCGAGCATTTATCCAAAACACCCGACCTGCTGTATCCCACTGGTCACGAGCATCAGATTGACTTTCTAGTGTTGGTTTACATGGAATTTGATTTGTTAGGGTTACGATAAATTAGTGGTAATTGCATAATCACGAAGTCGTATGTGCGAAGTCTCTTGATTTCCACATTAGTCCTAATTTTTGATCACTTGAATGCTACTCACCGTGTTACATCATCATCCTTCCATTCAGCTTCATGCACATAAAATTCTGGTTTTTCAATCCTATGAGTTGTAGTCACTGTGTAATGTATCATCCCTGACCATGTAACTGTCACTGACTTACCACGACCCTAGTAACAAAACTTTTCATTTTTACCAGAAACTTTGCTCTTATAAATATATTTGCATGCAAATTATTAGAGAAAGCTATATTCTTATTATTTTCTTTCACCACAACTATTTTACCACAATCCTTACTGGAGGACTAATTCATGATAACAAACAAAGTGTGTGTTAAAATTTTGCGATAATTGATTTTAGTAAATTTCATAGGTTGTAAGCAGCTGACGAGAAGTAATGAAATAAAGTGAATCCGTATTATACTGCACCGATATTTAATTCTTTGTACAGGTTCAGTAAAGTCAGGTATCGTAATGTGATACAATAAATTCATTAGCGAAAACCGTATCTTTCCATGATTTACAATCTAGTGTGGTAAACATTGAGACTTGAAGTTTTACCTCCTAGTGTAAATTTCTGGTTTACCAAGATATTGTAGCCTAATTCTAGGTGTCTGCCGACCTATCAACTTCTGGTACGGAGGCTTCATTTGAAACGATGCTTACAATGTTCACTTTTCATTGACAACACCATCATTTACCTGGTACTCTGGGTATATCCTGGTGACCAGTCCCAAATAAATTAAAATCTGCATCCTAGATTCCACTGATAGTCACCATCAACCGAAATAATTTAAAGCTAGTTAGTTAGTTAGTTATCCAAAGTCTTTGGACGATAAATATGTTATCTCATGATTTAAAAAAATTGAAACCATCAGTTAGTTTTGTTGAGTTGTCATTCCACATGATCCTGGTGGCTTTTTTAATTTTTACCATTAGTTGATAGGATTGGAAAAGAGGTTAACAGTGAAACGTCATGCAAAATTCACATTTATCTACATATATATGCCATAAGCAAATAATCACTAGTCCTAACTCATGCTTAATTAACGGAAACGCAATGAATGATTTAAGTGTCCCTTGATTGCATCTCTATTTCTTGATTTCATTCTATAGATTTTCCTTATTTATAAAATTATCAGCCCTGAATATTCTGCTAACTTACTTCATAAAATCACCAGATTCTAGAGACCACCAAAACTTAGAATGTGTTCATTTCATTATTTCTTCTCAGAAGCATCCTGCTTTAGACAGTAACTGAATTTATAACTCAGTGTATGATAATTTGCACTACGTAATTCAGTAATACTTGGGAAAGGTTCCAAGTAATATTCTAATTTCTATGCAATAATGTCTCTGTGGCATCTAATGTTGTGTTATAATGGTCCAGATAAATTGTTCTTAAATAGATCTCAGTCACATTTCATTCATGTTTCCTTTCCGTTTACTGAGAGTTAACACTTTTCACCACCACTGTATTTTATTTGACTTATCAGTATACTGATGTATACAAACACGCACTGTATTTGAAACATACTCCATGTTGTATGGTCAAGTAGTTACTGCTCAGTGTTTGAAGACTAGTTAGTTTATACTTCATATGTATCATAACTCTTTCTGTTGGGATCAGGAAGTTAGACAACAAATAATTTTCCGATAATTTATGGAACAGCTCCCGTCAGTATACATGTAGTCATTCTGTTGACGGTGTTGCATTCTCTGATCAAGATAGTTTAATTGTGAAGTTTTGCTTTTAATTCTAAACAGTCATGTGTGTGAAAATCTTAAGAAAATTGTCTAAACGTGGCGTATTCGAATGTCCTGATGATCAGAAATTCTCAAGAGTTGGTTTTTAGGGATTTGGTTGATACCAGTTTTGCCACAAAATGACTTTATAGTTGGAGAACCATTGAAAACTGGTCACCTGTTTCACCCTTGCTCGGGAGTCGTAAGCGGCATGTACCCATGGCCTTACTAAGGACTGATGGGTAGCTGGAGTCTGTTCCAGTGATCGACGAGCATATCTTGTAGCCTATGGGTTCGATCCCTTGGGGGTCATGGGTGTGTTTTGTGGAGAGGGTCAAACAAGGGCTTGAGTTCTCGAAATCAGTGATTTTATTGATTATAAACCAATCAATATACTATGCAGGTAAAATATCAGTTTTCTATTTGAATACCATTCTTATATCATTAATATCCTCGTTTATGTTTTAATTATTGAACGATGTTGTTTTGTTTTTCAATTATACTTGACAATGCTTGAGATTGTCAGTCACTGAATGAAGTTGTTTTAGTAGTGATAATAACAATAATAACAGCTTTACTCTGAAAAATGCGTCCATACATATTACAAAATTCTTAACATGTTCTATGGTGCAAGATCTGCTCCGTGTGTAGAATCTTTAAGTAAATTAACAATGGATTATGTACCATTTGAAGCATTACTGTCTCATTGAAAAGTGCACTATAATAACCTACAACGTTTTCATTCTATTTCATTTATAACATCTTTATTAGTAGGGTAAAAACTATCTGAAAATGCGCGTAAGTGCATAGTGCTTACTCAAGGCTGTGAGTGGATAATAATAAAAACAAGATGAATTGAAGGGAAAAATAGTACAAATAAGCAACATTTCGGTGTACATTAAACCAAACCTACTTAGCAGTTGTTCAATTTCTCTGAGTTGGCAAGGTATCAGAGTAGGTGACATGACGATCGAAGATTCCAATCTTAAAAAGATGAAATCTTTATTTTGTCAAATTAGTAAAAAAGAATTTTTGTTGTTGTTTATTTTAGCTTTAATTTCGACGAAGGACGACCTACACAAAATTTCGACACATTTGTTAAAGCATTGTTAACTGTATTTCAAGTGAGTTCCACAATTCTTTAAATATATGTGTTCATGTGAGTTTTCAAAAAAGAATCACAGCTGCATTAATGAAACTGCTAACTAAAGAGTGATTTTGCCTGAATGATTTTTTTTGTCATATTAGAGACGATCACGTGGGGATACGTTAATCGCATCACTGATTAATTGTCATTGGTCACTGAACTGCTTACATATAAAAGCCTCAGTATATTGCGGTCAGTCTAGTTTTAGTTCATATTGGTCAGGAGTAGAAGTTTCCGCCTGAAGAAGTATGGCCAACTGACTTCATTACAAGATACAGGTCACAGATAGTTACAACCCATAGTAATAAAAACATAATTACTGTCTAAGGAACTAACTGTCCTCGTAACTCATCACCTTAATGATATAATGATTTAGTGTTTGTAACAATAAATGTGCTCAGTTTGACTCTTGATTAAGGTTTATTAGTCACTCGATAGAAGGCTGAATCGAGCTAGTAGATCTTAATTGTGACTGACTGCACTGTTTGTGAAATGCACGTTCAAATAGAAATTGAAGGCTATTCTAAACGCCAACCATTTCACTGTATGGTCAGTCTTAAAAAGTTTTAGTGGGGAGATTTTCAGCATTCTGTGTACTGACATCAAAAGCTGACGATTACAAGTAGTTAAAACCATCTAAGCAGTGTTATACATTTGTTCAACCAAAGTATCTAAATTGCTCAGTGATAACGTCTCTCACTGTAGCACTGGTTAATCCAGGTAAAAATCTCAGAAAGGACATGAGTCCCTTCAAGACTGCAGATATATTTTGGCAACAAGTGCCATTAATCACGAAACCCAAGTCCAAGGATTCTTCCCGGCTGTCTTTAATCATCATATAAGAATCCCGAGTATACCGTGTTGATGAGTCAGTTAGCATTTTGGTCACATAGCAAGTTTGACTGTTAGAATATAATCTGCGCCAAATTAAGGACTGGACCCGTGAAATTATTTAGTACCTAGTGTCAGATCAAAGTATTTGAAAATTTACAGGTTCACTTCTTATTTCGGCCAAATACCTGATTGAGTTACTACCCATTTAATGGAATAAAATTGGTATTGTAAGCTTACTCATGCTACATGATTAGTTCCTTTATCTTAAGGAAGAATAGAGTGGATAAGGCAAATGAGCATTTGAAACAGACATCTAGTTTTAAATTACCGATTCAGGTTTGGAAAGCAATTGCAGGTATATTTGTTCTGTTGGTAGTGTTTTCAGGAGTAATAAATGATGAATATGTATTACCTGTTTTAATACATTATGGGCACCGAGAGATGAGTCACAAAAAATCTCATAGTTGTTGCAAGAGATGCGATACTTCTGGAGAGCTCAGATCGAAGCAGACGATTGTGTTAAGGCGCCATACCCTGCTCCGAGTCTGTGACTTTAAGTCTGATTAACAGATAAGTGGAGCAGCTTCAAGAACTCAGTTCTTGTGGGTTTCGGAAAATAGAACAAGTTCATATATCATTCATTCCTTTCAGATTCTGGAGCGCATGTACACCATCGGTTTGAAATCAGGGTTATTCATCACCACCAGGTAGACCTAGATGTCTACCATTTCTGTTGTAAGCTCCAGAGGTTCGCATACACCCTATCAATTTTCTTAGAAAAACACCCACGGCTTGAAGGTGGTGAATAAGTCTCATCTGATAGTGGTTATGAACGTGTGGTCATATATGAGCATTTTAAGAGGAAGGCCGAATTCTATCCATCCTAGGCTGCACCTGATCGTTTACGGAGGCAAACGCATGATTGGAAAATGAAAGAGTATGGTCAACTATCACTGCTTATATGACATTTGAAATTAGTTTTTAACAACTTTTAGTGAACCATAAACTACAATATCTACAAGGCATTCTGTTAATTCCGTTCATTTACATCATTTATGTATACAAATAACATAAGTTAACTTCATGAACTGATGAATGCGGACTAGTGTGAAATCAACTTCTTCCCAGTGCGAACATTCCTCTGTCATATTAGAGTGACTTTATAAGGCGCAACTGAAACTCAACAACATATGTAGGCAACGATTTATCACAGTCTACTTCACCCCGATGTCTTTTTATATTCCTTTACATTCCCAGTGGAACATAGGGCTTTACGCTAGAGGCTTGAAGTTCCGGTAGCAATGGTGTTTATTTTTTTTCAGGATGGGTTGCTAGCCTCATGCCAAACCTTCCCTCCACACCATTCTTATTACTGGTTTGGCGAGGTAAAAGAGTGTGTTGGTGGCAGGGAGTAGAACCCCGAACCACATGCCTGGCTGGCCAGCATTCTACCGTTGTGCCACTGAAGCACAAAAGTCCCAGTTGATGCGTGTGGAGATGCCGGCGATCGAACCCGGGAGTAAAGAAACGAATTAGTGATGTATACACCTGAGGTTTACTGGAGTGATGTTTACAGAATTCTTATTCAGGGATAGTATAACGGTAACCTTTAATGACTGCCTCTAATTTCGCCTCCCAACAAGACGATATTCTAACTGTTAACTTATTCATCTGCTATTCACATATACAATACTGAGTACACAAATATCATTATACAAGTGAGTGTGCTAAATGTCTCAGGTGTCGATAATTTATAATTACTGCCTTTAAATAAAATGCATTCAGCTTTCGTGGTTGCATGTATATGCACACATATAACTGGTGTTCATTTCTTTTTCTCTGAACAGATTTTAACAGGTGAAGACTGGAATACAATCATGTATAATGGCATAAGAGCACAAGGTGGAGTTACTGGAGGCGGTGCAATTTACAGTGTCTACTTTGTATTAGTTATGCTTTTTGGAAACTGTATCCTTTCCTAGTGAATGGATTTTTTTGCATAGGGGATAGCTGAATTCGCCTTTTTGTTTGTCTTTTTTCAGGTGGGAGAGGCTGGTGGAGTTATTGTTTAGATAATAAACATTCTTTTCACCTTATAATAATTTTTTAAAATGGTAGTTTAGTGAATTTTTCACACTTCTCAGAAGTGGTTGTTTTTCATTTTTAAAACACAGATCATTGTCAAATTGGTGTTTTAAGCGTTTCCTTTTTAGTCTTTTGAAGACATCACTTGACTTCATAGAATTTCATCCTTTGATAAAGTGTGATAAAATAAGAAAAACAGTTGGAGGAAAATAATTTTATCCCATTATTTCTTTTTAACTACTTATCACATGAAACACTTTTTGGACAAAAAAAAGTAGACTAAAAATGGTTGTGCACATTGATCACAACAGAAGTTTCCCATTGGGAGTAAAGGCAGTGAACAGACAGGAATGTGAGAAGTATTTTATAAAAGTATAAGGTAAGAAGAAAAGCAGTTTAGACAGCGAACCACTAAATAGCTTGCCACTACGGTTTAACTTGAGAATCTTCAGTAGCTAAAACTCAGTTCCCCTTTGGAGGATCAAGACCAGCGGTCCCTTTGTAAATTAGAAAGTCTGTCACTTCTGGAAAAGTAAGATTTATGAAAGATTATAACATTAATCTTTACTGTCAGATAAAAAATGAGGTGATTGTGTCTGTGCTTTTAGTTGGAACAGTTTTCTTACGAGTACATATATATATATATATATTCATAAAACTACCATGGCTATAAACCTTAACCTTCTGACCTATAAAGATACCTTGTTGAATGTATTTCTTGCCATTGCTGTGGATAATTTGGCTAATGCACAAGAATTAACTGAAGCTGAAGAAGAACAGGCCAAATTACAAGAAGAGGTAAGAACCAAATTACTTAGAATTTTCTCAAAAAGACTTTATTTATTTTTAAAAATATCACACATTACAAGATTGTTTTAATAACATTATAAGCCTCCTTATTAATATATGTGTAAAACTTAGGCACTATGGTAGTAAGTAATTCCATATTAGTTTGTTTATTAGATGTATCACACAGTGAAACAGTATTATTTACAGGATCACGTAGTTTCCAACACAATTTATTCTTCATAATCATGTCATCACACGACTTTGAAACTTGAGTTTTATAGTTTTCTTTGTTTTCTCCTATTTTTCGTAGGGGTAGTAAGATTTTCCAGATATCTGGGACAGGTGTTGAATCATTTCTATTACATCTATTTTCAGTTGATTCGATAAACAAAGTTTCAGTTATCGATCTCTCCCTCCGCCCTGTGACATTAGGTTTTAAAACCGTCATCCTATCCCATCCAGCCTATTGTATGGTTGTGTGTTACTGCATGTAGTGGTATAGCTCAACGATTCTCTAGATTTCTTATCTTAGTCGGGTCAACCAATTTAGATTTTCCTAGGTTTTTATGTTTAGCCAGTCTGACTGCCCCTGTCCTACTGTTTCACTGTGTGATACATCTAATAAACAAACTAATATGGAATAATAAGCCTCCCACTAATTGCAAATTTAACTAAGCAGTGAATCAACCGGAATAATCTGAATAAACATTATTCTCATCTAATCAAAATATTACTTATCCTGTACACAGTGGAAGTCTATAAATGAGAAACTTACTCTGATCAGCATGACATCGATGAACGCCTCAGAAGACCTGTTTTTTTTCCATAATTTAAAACTGCTAGACAAGTAGACTTTGTTGGACAGAATTAACAGATCGACTGAGTTTCATCACTGAACTTTGCACAGAAGTTCAGTAGGTCAAATTGCCGCATTCCATTTAGCACACAGATGTAAACAAAAAAGTGAGAAAAACTAAAATCTGAGTGAGAAGGATATCAACATGAAAAAATCATGGAGGTTTAGTGAATGTTGGACTTTACAATGACTGAATACATTTGCATCGTTAAGGATGATTTTGAATCATATCACCAATAGTCTGTAGCCAGTGGTTCTTGACATTCTGAGAACTCCAACCAGGCAGTCTGTACCTCCTTATGCAGCTTAAAAATACTGTCGAAATCTTCACGGATTGATACCAGATTCTGGTTTCACCACCGGTAACTCTTTTCTAAACGCATTCTGTATCTGCTAACATTGCTGGATGAGGAGGGTGACTGCTAGAAATGCGCAACATGCGTCCCACTCATCTCAGTCTGCGTAATTTCGCAGTGGTTAGGACTCTCGCCAACCATACACATAGTCCGGGATTCGACCGTCTGCCGACGCACACCCGATATCTATGGTAGACTTGCAAAATTTGGGCTACCGATATCACATGCTGAAAATTCCATACCTGTACCAAAAAAATACAATGTGGAATCAAACTGGAATCAAAAAATTTTCAACGACTGGCTTCCCTTCCTTCTGTAAAACTCAGAGCCTAAAGACGATAATACTCACCATATGAAAGCAGCTAGCTCACGGTCAAAGACAGCTAGCCTTTTCATATCTTCCACTCTCAATGTCCATGTTTCACAAATGTAAAGAAGGACAGAGAGAAATGATACACAGTACACACCTTTTGACAGATGGTCAGATTTCACGTCTTCGCTGGCGATGAAGTTCGTGGAAAAATGACACATGAACTTTTTTAAAGTGGGGAAAATTGTACGGTTACATTATAAATGAGATTTAGCTCTCTAGTTATAAGTGATATAGCTATCGATGTCTTGAAAACTTATATGATCTATATAAACGGTTTTGTTAATTAGTGAAGTAAGAAGTTATAATTCCACTTACTCTATACAAGTAGCTTAATGGGACCTATTACATCACCAGACAGTGTTTAGGTATTTCAAGGATAACTAAGATTGTCAAGCATTTTAAGTTGTTAAGGGATGTGTTTTTATTAGTTCAAGATGAAAGTGCGCATAACCTGTACTCATTTAACAAACCATTTGTATTTTAGTAGGTTTTCTATAGTCAGTAAAATTAAGGATTAATAATCTCAGCGTATGTAACAATAAAACTTGAGATAAAATTAATTTATTCATCCCCGAACATCAATAATAATGAATATAGAAGCTAACTTTGAATATGTCACCTTATCAAAATATTAAAAGAAAGAACGGTGAGTAAAATCACCATGTCCAATTCCTCCTACCTGTCATTATGATACTTCATTTATTTGTTAGAACTAGTGTGTGGCATCACAGTTCATGTTTTACTACTAGTTACTTAACATTAAGTCAGTGTCGGTAGTTCAGCGATGGAATGCTCGCTAAACACGTATGTGCTCCGGAGTTCGATTCCCTGCCGACATACCTTCCAACTTCGTTTAGCCAATGGTGGATCTCCTGCCGGTGTGCAGGGAAAATCTAGGATGGGGCTAGCAATCACACTCGGTGGAAGTAAACATCTCTGTTCATGCTTAAAGCCCTACGTTTTACTCGGAACGCAAAGGAACAAAATAAAAGAAACATCAAAGGTCTCGGAGTGGAACCCGTATGGGGACTGAAATGACGGAGACTATGTGTATGAAGGAGATGACAGCTTATGAGCAATCGTAAAGCCAGGTTAATAGGACTGAAGGCAAAAGAATGAAGTAAAGATGTACTGCTGAAGCCGTATTTTCCACTTAGAGCCTAAGGGAATAATATCTATGCATACCAAAGATAACTTTAATCACTGTGAAAAGCTACTCAAAATATTTCTGAATTTTCTTTTGCCGACTTCTACCATTAGAAACCTTATTTACAAACTATTTATTCCCAATGGTATTTAATTAACTTTGTAATAAAGAAGCCATAAACTGGCTTTTTTGTGCAATTCCTTCTTTTTAAAGTTTTTTCTGTATTATATTACAACAAAAGTATCCCCTTTCCTGATATCTTAGATGTATACGTCTGTATTAATGACAGACAGACTTGGAATTAAAAGACAGTCCAAAAATAGCTTAGACAAACCGACATTCTATTCTCATGATTAATTCATATGAATAAATTTATTACTCTAAATACAACTAGTTGGAAGTATCACTGAAGCTAAGTAGTACCCGTTAAATCTTATTTTAAAATGGATAGGTAATCTGAATTCAAGTAATAGATTCTATCATTCCCTGATGGGGTCATGGTTTAGTCCTCTTGAAGGGCTCTTTCCTAGAACTAGGCGCCTATCCATTACTGTTTGGTGTTTGGGAGATTCTCTTAGCAATGCAATTTGTTAAAGAAATCTACCCTGAGGTCATTCCCATTCCAACTAACTTAAAATCTTATATCAGCCTACTTACTGCCGTTAATGTTTCAATCGAACTTCGTTATGTTTACCTAACCGCCTTTCTATAGGATATAAGCGATGATTTTAAAGCAATTATGATGGCCCTGGAATGGATGTTAATCTTTGCTGATACACTTCGAAAATGTAGGCTAGAAAGTAAAAAATAGGAATACCAATAATATGCCCCTAAAGAATGAATATAAATTTGTAATAGGACGAATGAAAGTCAGATAGTGTGTGTATAGACAGCCATAGAGAATAAAGTTTGTCTAAGACGAATGTGTTGTTGGAGATTACAGAATGCCCTATTGAATCTCACTATTTGGACTATGCGATTTGTGGGGATTCACATTAATTTCAATTGCTAGATTTTGTGACCAACCAACATCATTTAGGGCGGTCACTGAAGAGCGGGGAGCAACTGTTTAGCCCAATTTCGAGACTTTTCAGCACCCGGCATGCACTGAACACTTGGCATTCTGATTACGAGAGCAAGCTGACTAAGAATTTAACCACTTCTGTTAGAATTCAGTGACGTGCTAATTCTAACTTTATCAATTCGTGATACAGCTCAGCGATCACCGATGCATTCGGCGAGCATCTACTTCACCGTGTTATGGTGCTCCTCACTGATGTCTGCCTACAGCTCTAGAACATTCATCCAGTAGCCATCACTGAGCTGGAGATTGGTGTTTAGATCATGAGATTGTTAGTCATTTGGACTAATTTCAATTGCTAAATCTCGTCATTAAATGCACTAACCGCTACATAGGGAAATAGCTGAACCGTTCTGTCTTTAAATTTCGTACGATTTTTAAAAGTTTGAGACAGTTTTAGACATTGCGAATACGAAAAATTGCTTTTCCCTAGGAAGTCGTTGTTCTCCTCTTATAAAACATTTGTGGTTATCTGAAGGACGTTCTGCCCTTCTGTTTGTCACAAAATAAGCAGCAATATAAACCTCTTTAACACTGAGCAAAGGATTCTATGCTCTTTTATGCTCTCATAGCTATCCAGCCTTCCGACCGATGTCCAACAAGTTTCAATATTAAGTGCAGAATTCTGACAATACACTGCCACCTCTTATACTCATTGACATGAGGTTTGTGAGATAAAGCTTTAGAAGAGCTCCGATTGTAGATACTTTAAGTATACAGTAAAAGAGATGAAACTATACGTCTTCATGTGACTGAATCACTTTGCTTTACTTTTTAGCAGTATATCAGTTACAATCTCTAATTTGAATAGACATAAGTTTGGCTACCATAACTATTGGAATTATTTCTCTACATTCAGTTCGTTGATTTTTCACTGACAAAAGCTCAGCTCAATAGAACCTAAGTTTACTAGATTAATTATACTCATTATTCTGTTCAAACTAACGATCATCACTAGAATTCAAAAGTGGAATTATTTTAACACCATGTATGCACATTGACGGCTTGATCTGCATCCAGCCTCATACTAATTCAATATTTCTTACAATACCATTAGCACAAGAGGGTTTATCGTAAATAAGGAACATTTTAATATGCTACAGAGAACTTCTTTGAGATCATTGTGTCTTTATTTATTTATTTGTGAGAGCACACATCTTAAACACAGATGTTAAGCAAAGACACATCACATTTTTTCTTTGATATTTAGATACACTTAGCTGAGGAAGCAACAGAAATGCGATCGAATGCTGATGTGAACAATAATGGCAATGTCAGGAATATGCAGACGACAGGAAACTTTGTGAATAACTATCATAATTCCAGTAATCACGATACAGATCACACATTAGAGTAAGAAAGATTTTTAATTTATTAGATGAATTAAATTTAATCATTGGTTTAAAGTTTTAATTTTGATCAGGAATTGAATTCAGTTAGGGAACTGTTGGAAAACTAGGGATCACTGGAGAGTTGTTTCTTACTTGTTTGAGACTACTCAGTTCAAGCTGTTAGTCGCGCCACATAGCCAACTGGCAGAAGTTTTAACTGATGGTACATTTAACTCTTTCCAAGTGTGTGAGCAGCACAGAGGTCCGCCGCATAGCCTGAAGGTCCTTAGTTCAGTCTTTGACGAGTTGAAGAGACCCAAACAAGGACGAAATATGTATTTACTACTACCTAGTTTCCAGTGGTCCTCAAACTGAAGTCATTTCCTTATCAAAACCAAAATCACTGAAATCCCTGCAAACCAAAATTTACCAAGTAATTTATCTAATACACTATAATTAGTTAGCAAGTAACTGTTCATTGAGTTACAAATGATTTATAGTAAACTGAATTCCCCTTGGGAGTTATTGAAATGAAAAAGTATGCTAAATAGCCGTCCTATTTGTGGTTTAAAAGTATCCTGTACTGGGGATTATAGTAGAATGAATTATAAAATTATTTATTGGGATTGGCATTTTCAGATCAGGTGTTTCTATATGACATTTACTTCTCTTCTGATATTATTCAAATCGATTCTCGTTTAGTGCGGTACAAAGCTGATTAGCGGAATGTATCTTTATCCTGTTATGTAGCTTGTGGTCAGTACCACCCATTTCAGACTTCATAACACCCCAGTATCTTATAAACAAGTGGCGAGCCACTTAACATGGTGGCCACATTGCAAGCTTGACTGACAGGATTCAGTCAGCACCTGAGATAGGACATTACACTATTTACTAACTTGTGTTCAATCAAAATTTCCAATGCAGTCCTACAGGAGGTCAGTCGCTAGCCTGAATAGCTCAGTGGACAAACCCATTTTACTGCAGCACTGGGTGATGCGGGTTCGAATCTCAGAAGGGGTATGAGTTCCTTCGAGGTTGCAGATAATCCTTGCTGATGAGTGCCAACCGGCGCCAAACCTAGGTCAAGCAGGGCTTCCTACAGTTTGCCTCCAACCATCTAACACCGTCATTACAAATCGTCTGACATTCGTTGCGCACAAGACGACTCTTATAGCTTTAACGTATGAATCGAGTCTTACTTTGAATACTGTCACTCACCAGTAGGAGGAGTACGCATAGAATATGGTAATATTTTAGCTTATTATCGGTAGTAAAAGCATTCAATTAGTAGAAATATAATGGGTGTGATAATCCTACATTATCAGGTGAAAAGTGACACATTAAACATAACTTCAACCTATGAATCTGATCTGATAGCTTCCTACTTGTCGTCCCCACTGAATTTATCGATAAAAGCGATGATTTGTAAGAATTACTGTGATTGTCAGGCAGATCTTAACTTGAAATTCCAAGTTTTAGTAGCTTTTTGAAGTTCTGTTATTTACGACGTGAGCTTTACACTCTTTGTATGCTATAAACTGTCAGATCAAGTAGATATTCTATTGAAGCAAGTTACAGTTATCCTATGCTACACTCTTACAAACAACACAGAATAAGAAAGTAAGGAATGCTTCTCCAGTCAACTGCAAACGGTAGTCGGCAAGGCTCAGTCCAGATAGCAAAATAAAAATCCTAATAGGTGATATCACTATCAAGCTGGAGGCAGAAAACACAGGAGAAGAATTCATCATAGGTTGACAGGTTTTCAGAGAAATGAATGAGAAGGGAGAAGTCTTTGGAGACTTCTGTACATTCGACAATTTGACAATCAAAGGTAGTGTGTACAAGCATGGAGTATACAAAAGACGACATAGTGATCATTAGACAGACACATTGAAAATCACATAGACTTCATTTCCGTCTGATGAAAGTGAAAATGCAGCATTTTGGGCAAAAAATCAAGAAGAGGAGCAGATCGGGAGTGAGACCATTATCTAGCATAGAAATCTGATGAGGTCAGCACAAGGTACAAAATCCAAATTTCCAACACTGGCGACAATTCATTTCTTTTGTATGGTTGAAAAACCTGAAGCACCATAAAAGCGTTTCCATCAGCAGCTTGTCTTCATATATTACTGAAGATAAGATGGAGGACAAGATAGAACTAGAAGCAAGAAACCCTGGCAATGAACGAACCAACAACTGATTGCCAGATAATTATCCAGAAACGAATAAAGACAGATTGGACACACGTGAAGGAGACCAATGACTGACAACAGGTGCCAGGTCCTCGAGGGAAATCTGAAGAGAAGATAGCGGGCCGAGTGTCTTAAGATGACTTGGAGGAAGTGAAAGCTAGCTGAAGAAGGCAGCAGAGAACAAGATGAAGGGAAGATGAGCTGGTAAAACCATGCGTTCCATTCAGAACCCCAGAGAATATTAATAATAGAATTTAGAGGTGCTGTTCTTGCTTATAAGAAAGTAAAGGCGCATCCAACTAGCCTTAGTCCGGTTAGAATCCACCAACTTTATCTTGCACTTCATACTCGTATACACTCTGCATCACTTTGTTTCATTGCCAACAAGACCTTTAGGGTACTACTTCTTTTGACTGCAAATATTGTTTACGTATACTCCTATGTTAATAACTTTATACTGTTTACGTCCGTTGGATATGAATTTAGGAAAATGACGATATCATTGGAGAGAGACTAAAAGTGCAACGAAGTTGAAATTTACTAACAGCAGACCATTCGATCAATAAACTGACCATCGTCCATAACAGAATGCTGAGTAGATAAACCTATTCTGTATAAAATGCTTCTTATTTTGTAATCCATGTCCATATGTTTCAGAGTTAGATTGCAAATAACAAAAATCTATGCAGGAGTTGCGTTCTTTTCTTTCTTTACTTCATAGTCAGATAACAACCGTCTAGTTATCAGTAATGTTTATTTTGCCTAAAAATACCATCTGTTACTTATGAAGTAAATAAAACAATTGAAGATAATGTAAATAACACTGTTGAGAATTCATAATGATTTAAAATGCTCTGACAGGTATAAAAATAGTTATTACAAAAAAGGAGATAATTACTTCAGCCTAAGTGTAGGCTATTATAGTTTCGAATATATTATAAAATTAGAAAATTGTAGACTTTCATAGATTATTATGACGTGAAAATGTAATAGTTCCATTCCAATGGGTTATTATGGTGTTATAAACGCGAAATATCCCGGAAAAAGTAAGCATCGAATCCAATCAAACTGTTTTACATTGACGTAACATAAAAGCATTGTTTGGAAGAGATGATCCCCATACGGTCCTATTTTTTGGGGCATATATATATATTTTATACATTGATTGGACGCCAGAAAGTGACCAGCTCCATTTGCCTAGTCCTTGGTGTTGGCACAGACTGGATTCTATCAGCCAAGTTTGTAATGTGTTCATCATGCTAACTGGCTCGCCATCGTGTCGTACTCTAAATCGATGTTAGATGGTTGGAGGCAAGCCCTAGTGACCAACTAAAGCTTGCTCAACATCCATCCAGGGGATCAGTTTTGAGCACGAATTGCTCATTAGTGACATCTTCAGATGCTGCTTTCGGTGATGTGGATAAAAGTCGCAGAGGGGACATCAGTTCCCCGAATATCTCAGACACGTGCTGATGACCAGACCAAGAAGTACGAAATATATATATATATATATATAATCTGACAGGAAGATGATACATGTTTCTAAATCTTTCCCATATTTTATTCACATTATATTGCATAGGACGAAGAAGGATGATATGACTGAAATAACCAGAAATAGAACCGGTGCACAGATGGATAGTTTCATGTTGAATCATGGTAAGTTAAATTCTTTTAATATGCAAAATGTTTTACACTACTTTTAAGCATGTTCACTGAAATGTTGCAATATTGGAAAATAAGAAAAACAGGAAAAGGGTTCTACAGAAAGTAGTAGTAGTGATAATGTGTATAAGAAAACGTTTTCGGGTATATTACTGACTGATGGATGTGAATATCTGGACACCATTTGCGTCAACAGTTAGTGTTTGCTAGTCAACCAGAGCGAAGTAATCTAACCATAGGACAGCCATTTTGCTTGTTTGGCGTCGAGCACATCATAGGTGTACTTGATTCGACTCAACTCATGCATCCCATTCAGTTTAAAACGACCTGAACGCTAGGTAGTGATTTAGGTGGATTGGTAATATACTGAAGCGAATTCGCAATTTTTCAGACTGAATCGCAGTGTTACCACTCACATCAACCAGTAGTGTTCGAGTAGTACCTAACTACTTATATCAAAGAACTAGTAGTATATAACATCATGTAGTTTTGTTTGCTTTCTTGATTTCCATTATTACTATCGAGTAGATCACACTCTGCGATCTAAATAATTTCGATTTTCAGACGAAATTGTGGTGAAATTTCGATTCTTATTTTGTAATTTTCAAACCGGAAATCAGTTTGTAAATTATGGAATTTATTCTGCACTTATTGACAGCCACAATGAAGTTTTAGTGGAACGTACTTCAATCAGAAGGTTAACAGATCTTCTCAGTTAAGCAATAAAGTGGTTATTTTGTGGTATTCAGAAAAACTGCAAACAATTACTCCTCCATGTAGTAATCATTACGAGCATGTCGTCATTCTATCATTTGTCGGCACAATACTGACAGTACATTTTAATCGAGATTACACTACTGTGCGTTGGTAGCACAGAGGTTATGACTCTCGCCAACCATGCACATGATTCGGGGTTCAGTCTCCAACCGACGCCTGCAAAATTTAGGGTAGCGATATCACATGCTAAAAATTGCATACCTGTACCAAAATATACGTGTGGAATCAAGCTGTAATCAAAAAGAAATAAAATGATAATTGAGAAATAGTAATCTCTCTGAGAACCGGTTATTTCTAGTTGATTGAACATTGTTATTTATTATGATATCCTTTAATTCCTAAAAGAACATAGCGCGTCTCCATTTCCTTCGGTTTTCTGCCAACGTTTTCACCCCGCTCCAACTCTGCCCACATGTTTTCATCTCCTCCTCGCATGACCTCCTCCAAGTCACCCTTGGACGACCAACTCGCCGCCTCCCTTTCGGGTTCCACTCGAGCGATGGCTTGTCTAGTGATGTCACTTGCTGGTTTCCTCAGAGTATGGCCAATCCATCTCCATTTCTTCCTGCCTATTTGATTCACAATCGGTTCCTGCTGGGTTGGTTCTCTCAGTGCCAGAAATCCCTGTTTCTGATCTTTTCTGGTCGGCCATCTGATCTTGAGTATTGAGCGAAGACAACTGTTAATGAAGGTCTGAAGTTTGTTAGAGACGCTCTTTATGAACATTAGACGATATAAATGCTGCTTGGTTGACTCAATCACTTCTTTAGTGAATTAGAATGTAACATTTAGAGTCTAAGGAATAAGATGTGAAGCATACTACCCGAGCACTTTGTTGAATATTAGTCAACATATTTCTCAAGTCTTAAGCATCAATCTAAGCCATCTGATTACCTTTAAATTAGAATAATCTACGCAAACTGACACAGAAGATGAAATACTTCTGTCTCTTTTTTATTTTGCCTACTGATCGGAACGAAATCCTGATTACTAGGCTTTGAAAGCAATCCGAAAACTGAGAATCATTTTTGTTACACCTTGATAAATGTTTCTACAGAGGACCTTTCATAACTCGACCAACACTGTCACACCATGTTTTGAAGATACTTGAGAAGCCGCAATATGGGAGGAAATGCATGCTTTGCACAGACAGGCTTCCGTCGAATACCACGAAACACAAAATCAAAGTCTACGTTTTTATTTCAACTGAATTTCATAATTTATATTCAGTTAATTTTGTTCTAAATAATGGGTATTGTAGCGTGCTGAATAATTGGGGAAAAAAATAGTGCGGCATATTTTACCTTAAAGTTATGGTGAGAAATCTTGACCCATAGCATTGGGCATTCCTGTTTTCCAGTAATCATGAGGTGATAAATTTGAATGGTTTCAAGCTAAAATGAAATATTAGGGATGGTTTTCTAGCAGATGTTTATTCACATCAAGAAATTCTTCAGAATTAATGAACTCCTAAAAATGTTTATGTTTTACAATGTCGTTTACTACTCTATCCTAAGAAATTGTCCTCCCTAGAGGTATAGGTGCACTCATGAACCTTTTAACAATAATAAACACTCTTGTAATTCTATGCAGAATAAAGACATATCACATATTAATAGGATTTGGTTAATAGGCTCGAGGGCAGCTGACCTCCTTTTATCTCAATAAGTTGTTACTGATAGGCTTTATTGTATATGCTACTTTCTGTGTTATACCATTGAAAATAACTATTCCAAATTCTACAGTCGGATAAAAACAGTGAATCAAATCAAATCATCTGTCAGATTGAAAAAAGGAGTGAATTGCAATTTGAAACTCCGGAAATCTACATTTTCCATAATGCATACAATAGTAATAATAATAATAATAATAGTAATGATAATCATAACAATATATGCAATTTTAAGGAATGATTTAAACGATCAAGTGTATATCTCTTGTATTTATTGTAAAACAATTAATAAATTTTGACAGGAAAATTCATGTTGACTTACAAATTTTGTATGCTAAGTATTCACTTCCGATTAGGAAAGAATAATTTTTGTCTAACTAGTGTTATTGATGGTTGGTTGATAAGTTAACTAGTTGGTTACTCATTTAGTGCTTTATCTCAAACATAATATTAAACTTTCAAGTAAACATTTGCATAGACTTAAATGATTTCATTTTGGATTGCATTAAAAATCTATATCAGTTAAAGAATCATTGTACACCATGGATTACTAGATCCAATGACGTAGCGATAAAAGCCATAGTGTTTAAAATGATGCTTACTGGATTCCAGATTCAACAGGAACACGACTATTCACTGGGGGTGAGGTGACACTAAACTGTCAAATTCTGAATTAAACAAGATACGCTTCCTGGATTCCAATACCTCCTACCATTTTATTATTTTTTAAATTTTGATTAAAGCTTGATTCCACACTGTATTTTTGGTACAAGTATGGAATGTTCAGCATGTGATATCGGTAGCCCGAATTTTGCAGGCCGACCATAGATATCAGGTGTGCGTCGGCAGGGATTCGAACCTCGGACCATGTGCATGGTCGGCGAGAGTCCTAACCGCTGTGCCACCGACGCAAATAAGTACTGCAGTACTCTGTGGTCTTCAGTAGCTCCCTAACTGCTATTAGGTTGACATGCAATCTAACTTGGAATCCTAATGAACTTTAGTGGTTTGATAACCCATATGAACTAAGTATTCATATCATTCTCAGACGATCTGAAGGCGCATGTTTAGTAGCGAAATAGGAATTCTTTAAAATGATTAATTCAGTAGTTGTTTACTCTTTATGTTGGTGTAAAACGACTGTTTCTAAGGTTCCTACCAGTAAATTTCCTTCAGTAATCATGATGTAAACGTAATTATTTGTATAGTTCAGGGTTGTTTTCCTCTAAAGCAGATTGATATCAACAGAAGAACTGTTGAAAACAAATTTTCCACCCCTGTTTAACATTTGACTTTATCATCATGATATCCATGATTATGGTGGATTCGATCAGGCAGTTAATTGTGGCAGGCGAGAAGACAGGGAAGAGTTAGAGCAAAAAAAGACTCTAGAAAATCTGGGTTTTCGTCTTATGCTACAAAAAACTGAAGGTCTACAGGCGGAAACCAACAAGTTTTCAGGAGAGTAAGGTAATGAAGATAGGATTTCAAGTAGAAATAGAGAGGACAGAGTTGATGAAGACAGCCAAAGAACAAGAATAATTGTTAATCATTAACAAAAAAGGAAACACGAAGGATGTAACTTCATATTCACCTATCAAAGCAGCATCGTGCTAACTATTGGTGGCTCAAATGAAGTCGTTTGAAGTCAGCCAGGACTACATCAAAAAAGCAAAACACAGCTTCATTATTTCGAAGTCCGAGCGGTTCAAGGGTGACATGAAGGAGATCGTATAAGGATTAGAGGGAAGCTAAATTGCAATTGTGGAGCTACCTAAAGACGACCATACAGAATAGGATGAAATGTAAGTGTGCAGTTGAAGCCCCATTATGCATTCAGAACCTGAGGGAATAATAATAAAAACGAGCTTTGGGACTTCTAATTGACGTAGGCACTACATATTAGTCATCTGCAAGCAAACTGTTCTCATTATCAAGTTGACAGAAGTATTTTGTTCTGAATATTTCTAATGAGAATTATTAAATCATTGAAGAAATCATTCTGTTCCAAGTATAGCCCGTTTGTGTTCAGCTGGTCTAACTTTCATTCAATGGCATTTGATATATATAATCTGAACTTAGCTTATGCTAAGTACAGCTAACTTGAATAATACTGTTGAGACAAAGAAATTCTCAAAAGCATTTTGATGAATAGTGATAACGGGATTAGCTCATGTACACTTCAGGCGAACAACTGAATCCGTTTTTAAACATCTCACAAGCTAAAAGCGTGAATCTTTTAAACTGAGTTTGCCCATTGGCCATCTCAGTTAAGGTGAACAGATCTGTCGCATTCACCTGACTTGTTTAAGTAGATCCAAGGAGTGCTGCTTTTCTGTGGGTCAGATTTTCCTGAGCACATTTCTAATGACCATTCCATTATCTGCATTATACTTTGATTGATTTTTCAGTCAAATAAATTTAAATCTTATCGCATCTACTGAATTTTGCAAATTCTTAGTTGTTCATTTAAAAATTTTTTGACTACATTTTTTACAGCCGGAAATTTAAACTTTGCATCACTTGAAAGTGATGATACAGCCAAGCTTCAAGGCTCTTCGCAAACTCAAGGAAAGCCTGTTTTACCCTACAGTTCAATGTTTATTTTTGCACCAACCAATGCGTACGTATTTATTTTAAAAGAAAGGTTTTTTAAAAGTATTTTTTCACTAAATGAAATTTTTAGTCAAGAGCCACTAACCTGCATATTTCGTTGATTAATGGGTTGAATATTGATACAAAATAAAAGTTTATTTATTTTGGCTAATAACCCTATGTGCTGATGGGATGCGCTATGCAGGGATTCAAACGAACTACTGAGATGTAGAGGAGTACTAGACAGCTGCTTCGTATTAAGTATTGATCACCTACCAGGGCTCGAACCCAGGACCATACTGACACAAGGTGAACCCGCAAACCGTTCAGCCACTGGGACATTATCCAATGGCATGTGAACTTCAAGTGCTAGGGATTTGATTAGTTTCCCGGTTTGAGTAATGAGTGACAGAAGTTTGAATCCAAAGACTATAGGGATTTGTCACAGTGGTTGATTCTGAAGATCTTGAGTTCAATTCCCAGTGAGGGCATGTGTGCTCACTGTTGAGGAGTCACTAGCCAGGACGAAACGACTGTCAACTATTCTGTGATTTACAGTGGTTGTCTTACTGATATCAGTTCACAATCAAACTTGAAACTAAACAAATTCCAACCCACTAATCCTTGTAAGCTGATATGAAGACTGAAAAGAATTCTGATGCCTTATCTTTTGAAATGGTATATTACTAGAATAATCTTATTATGAATATTATGAGTAAAGTAAAGTATTTCTTTTAATTAAGTGTGATCATTTAAAAATCAGCATTGATTTTGGTGAATTGTTTTGAAGTAAATCATATCCAAGTTCGCTTTACCTCATGTTAACTATACGCTTAGCTTAAAACAAATGATACTATTGGACCGGATATACATGCAACGTATGTATTCTTCAATTTTGAAAAGTCGGAGCAAAGTATGTTGAGACGTTAAAAACAATACATTCTCTCTAACCGTTACTAATAGAAATGATGAGTAATCTGTGTGAACTATTTACCGGGTGGTGATCGAGGTATCAATTTAATCTGAAGCATGTTAGACTAATCGGCCATGTGACATCCCAATACTGAGCCATGTTTTGCACAGCAGTGGCGTATTGAATGGATAGTTTATATATTGATGCCTTTTAAAATAAACAATGAACAGCCTATCACAGTAGTATTATTATGCAGTCGACTAGCTGACAAAAGTTCTTACATGAATAAATTACACGGCAATTAGGGATGTTAGTAGCCTGAAAATCTCCATCGAGCCATATAAAAAAGAGAAGACGTTCAGAGAAGAGACTCTTTTCGGCGAATTCATTCACATAGCTGTACAATCGCATTTGGATGTAGTTATTTGTGTGTGTATGTACATGAGGCGTGTCAAGTTTAGATAATTGATCAGGTAATACAAGAACAATACAACCCAGGAAGTCCTGGGTTCGAACCCCGGTAGGTGCGTACTGATGAAGAGCCTCAAACTAGGACGAAACAGCTGTCCAGTACTCCCAGGTTTTCTAATGGTTCTCTAACCAATGTCAACTCATGATGAAATCCTGTAATACAAGAATGATCTAATATAGAAACAAGGTTAGTTAGACAACAACTAAAGCAAGATTGAGTTAGTAAGTCAGATGACGTAATATAATTGACTAAAATGTTTCAACTTAGGTCAGAGTAGCAACAGAGGTAATTACAGGTAGAGTTTAAATAGAAATGGGGTAGAGAATAATTCCATTTTGGCTAATAATCCTTTGTGAACACAGTATTCAGCGAAGAGACTCTTTTCAACGAATTTATTGTCAAACTGTACAATCGTATATATATATGGCTTTATAAAGAAATTATATCCGGTGAGGGGATTAGGTCATACTACTATTATTATTTCATGTATTCACACCTTTGACGTAATTCCCTCACCGGATATAATTTCTTTATAAAACCATATATATACGATTGTACAGCTTAATAATAAATTCCTTGAAAAGACTCCCTTAGCTGAATATTGTGTTCTTAATGCTGCAATGGAATTATTCAATAATCCTTTGTGCCATTTAAATTAGAACTGAAATTGAGCAAAAGGTTGGCTGATGTAACATAAATGACTAGAAATTGAGCGTTGGTCAAGTCGGTGACAGTGGCAATGAGGTGTAAAACTAAATCGGGTGGGGGTAGAGAACAAGAAAGTTGAAAATGTAAAATATTACAATTGAGAAGACAAATAATACTAATGAAGAGACAGAAAAGAAAAAAGATTAGATAGAATTTACTTGTCGGGTAGTAAGATAGATTACGTCTACTGCAAGTGTAGTGATTGAACGAACTTCTTCCTCTGTATGCAGAGTTCAGGGCTTAGCAAGTAAATCGCCATTGCTTCTGCAGTTTGAAGAAGTCTGATTCGTACACCTTTAGGAAGACTACCTCTTACTCTGTAGACGACTTTGAAGTTTGTTCGGGGTGTAGCTTAGTGTCTAGATTCTATCAGATGTTATAAGATGGAGCTGCAGGAACATCGTTTTTCTCCTTTGTAAAACCATGTCAGTAAGTGTTCGGTGATACGCTTGGAAAGCAAACGCTGGGTACGGCCGACAAACCTGGCTCCACACGAGCAGGTGGAATGCTCTTGGTCCTATGAAATCAGATATTTAAACAAAATTGTCCTGTGCATACTCCTGATGAAATCAAATGCTCTATAACAGAAAGATAATATTCAATCACCTAGTCTACTAGTATTCCTGACCTTCATTTATGAGGCTATAATTATCTCTTTTTTGATGGAGTGCTTTTCCACCATCATTTTACTGTCGTTTATGTTCTTTTCTGTTTACAGAATAAGAAGATTTTGTCATTTTGTAGTGAATTTACGCTACTTTGATCTGTTCATTATGATTGTGATCTGTGCAAGTAGTATTGCTCTAGCTGCTGAAGATCCAATATCTGAACAGTCGAAAAGAAATACAATTCTTGAGCATTTCGATTATGCATTTACTGGTGTATTTACCATTGAATTAATTTTAAAAGTGAGTCCTTCAATGTGTCCAACTTATTTTTTATTAAAATAAGAACATGTCAACGAAGAATACTGTTTTCAATTTGATTTTCTTTCTTCAGGCTTTACTTCAATGTATATAGCTTTATATAGTAAAATTTTTAACCAGTGAAGGTAATTTTTTGGATTAAAGATAATAAGCGTCAAACGACAAGAATACTTCAGTAATAACGATGATTACTACAATGGTAACGATAGTAATAGTAAGGCAACTGATAACGAAAGTACAAGCAGTTGACTCAGTTGTCGATAAGAATAATGAAGATAATATGAAAATGCAAGTAATGCAATAATTAAATTAAGCGAAAATTCTCCAAAATTAAAAACTACGTAAAAATAAAGATTAAGTAAATAGATAATCAAAGTTTAAGTAAATATCATAAAAGTACGAAAGAGACGGTGAATAAGAAAGGGTGAGAAGTTTTGGCTAGTTCATTAGATTTACTTAGGCCGAAGAAGGGATAAAGACAGAACAAACTTCTTGTGCATACAAAAATTAGGATTGTTCTCTTAAATTCCCATAGCTTTGGATGTGTGTAAAGGGTGGGTTTAAGTTCTGTTTGAAAGGTTCGATGGAATGCAATAAATAATCTTGAGAGTATTTCCTCTGTTCATTTGGTGACGGTTACCATCAATCAAATGAGATAAAATAGAGCTTCTTATGTATTTCGTCCGGTTTTTTCTCAACCATGTAGGAAGATGGTCAGTGATGAGTTTGGTTAACTGTTTGGTTGTTCGACCATACACAAATTTTTTCCATGGGAGCACCTGAAATCGTAAATGTACATAGAAGTGGAACATATAGGTGGATCATCTTTTGCTTGAATAATCATGACTGGCTGGCTGGGAAATGACAAACAAAAGGTGGAGACAGTTCAGGTCAATTTAATCGCTCTAGATAATCTCAGATGTGGAACTTCAATGGCCTTAACCCTATTGAAGTTCAGCCTCAGGAACAGATTTTTCTTTTTAACCATTTCGCATCTCTCTCAGATGTCTGCATACAAACTTTATAGGGTGAGCTATTTGGACCAGGGTGTTATAAATGTATCCTAATTCATTTCCTAAGCAATAATCGGTGTAGATCCTTATTTCTGTATTCATGAGGCATCTGACCATATTAGTTGTGTATCAGATGGTCATGAAACTGAAGAATTGTGTATATCGTCCTTCAGGGTAAACCATTTTCTCTTGTGCAGAAGTGAACGTCAAGAAAGTGTAATCTAACGTCATGTCGTTCCGCATAAGCGAAAATCACTGATTGACGTAGATCAGTAGATTTATAAGTAGTTCGTTTTTCTAGGCTTTCTCATCAAGAACAATAAGTGTACTATCAATACAATTATAACAAGAGACCATTTTATATATTACTTATTTCAATGAACTCTTTTGAAGCGTAGCAACTGTGTTTACAGGTTTAGAAAAGGAATCCAGAGGGTTTATAAACATTCCCTCATCATTTTAAACCTGTATTTATGATACCATTACGTTAAACAGTGAAGAGGTCTACTCCGTATTAAGTGACATATTCTTCAGTTGAATCATACTTTTTCCGTCTAAGGCCTAAATGTTTTTCATTATTACTTCGAGATGACAATACCATTCAAATGCGTATCAGCACACATTTGAAGACATAAGTTTGATCGATAGAAAAAAACCAAACGATATCTCAGCTAAAAATGTGTAAGCCTTAAGGGATTTGAAGTGTTTGAGAGTGATGAAGTAACCACTTACAGATACTAGATAACATGCTGGGTCTATGTTGCCAGGACTGGTGAAACTAACGAAGTGTAAGAACCTCAAACAGTATCTAGGTATCTGAGCTTACAATCAACTTGATGAAAATCTAGTGCCTTCATAGATGAGTATCATGCGTTCAAGAGTTGATTTGAATAGCATTCAGTCAGTTGATAACTGAATGAAAGGATTCTAACATGTCAATTATGTTTAAGACATAAAATCAGTGATATGTTGTCGACTGAAAGTTTTCTAATCTAGCTGAACACAGCTATCGAGAATGACGACCACAACATTAAATTTCGATCAAGCCACTCTGACAGTGTGAAGCCCTAAAACTTCAACCGTACCTTAAAAATGTGCCTTTACTGCAGAAGTTTATCAAATGAATTTTCTAAATAGATCAAATTACTTCATTTTCAAACTGCACCGTTCTAGGTGAAGCTTTACCCTAGTTTCTTTTGTAAATCCGAAATACTGAGGTCACTACATCTAATCTGACTGCTACCTTTTCAGATAACAAACAGAGTCAGTTCAAACTTCTAAAAGGAAATCCTTGTGAATCTGTTCTCTGAGTAAATCACTCAGGTCAGACTAAAAAGACAAATGGTTGATTCAAGTGATTTCTAACCACACCAGTAATATATGTAACTTTTTAGAACGCCTATACTTCATCCTTGAAACAGCATTTATCGTCTACATTCACTATTTTTATTTTTTAAATTTTTGATTACAGCTTGATTCCACACTGTATTTTTGGTACAAGTATGGAATTTTCAGCATGTGGTATCGGTAGCCCAAATTTTGCAGGCCGACCATAGATATCAGGTATGCTTCGTAGGCAGGGGATTGGACCTCGGACCTGGGACCATGTGCATGGTCGGTGAGAGTCGTAAGCACTATGCCACCGACGCACAGGAGTTCAAATACTTTGCATTATTATTTAAGTGGACAAAATAGGTTGATTATTGTCTAGAAAGTGGATTCCAAATATCTTTCAAAGTATCAGCGAAATCATGTGGATTTTGTCTATTTCCCTTAAGTTAACTAAGAAGAATGACTGCATGATTTATTGATGAAACTTTTTATGCGACTGTGATTGTTTCTTTTCTGCCTTCATTAATTATGTATAAATAACATTTTTTAAAAATCTTGTTATGAATTAATTATTTTTCACTGACTGTGTATCTTTACAATTGCTCAATAAATTACAAATTACGCGACAACTATTACAACTTAAGAATAAGCCTAATGAAATGCAAACAAATGCCAAAGAACGAATTATTAATAGTGAAAATAATGTGCAAACTAATCTAGCATAACTGTGTTGATCATATTATTATTCCGTTAGATTTTGAATGAAACATATAACTTCGGCTTACATCTTCTTTCATCCTCTTCTTTGCAGTCGTTTCTAAGTTGGCTGCACGATTGTTCATAAGCTTCAATCTTCTGCTGACACCATCTCCTCTTTGTCACTTTCGGATCTATTCCCATCTTATCGTTTCCCTGTGGGTTTCTATTCGAGGGCCTAACGCACGATGTCACTTAATGGTCTCCTCGAATGGTGTTTCTAATCCGTCTCCATTTTGTTCGGAATGTTTTTTTTGGGCAACTGGCTCTTGGTCAGTTCTTCGCATTTCAGAGTTACCTTTTAGTATAATTATAAACCTTGGACACTGTTGTAGAGCATAACTCCATCATGGATAAGATTTTATTTTGATAAATCCCACAGTATTGTACAGTAATATTAACTGATGACGTTTCGAGCATAAACTATTGCCCATAATCACATCAAGTCACTCACACAACTTTTTACTTCATTTATATACATGAGTAAAATTCATTAGACATTTCATTAAAATCAATATAAGATAAAGTACATTCACAAATAATATGTGTTATCATTCAAATACAATCAAAAATAAGTAACTTGTTAGAATGTCATAATGTGAATTGAATACATTTTAACGTTATTTATTATCCTCTGATTTGACTGGTAATAACATCTTCCATATCTTTGGTATTTGCGTTGAGTCACTTCTATTGCAGTAATCAATCTCTCCCTCCACCTACCTATATTGCTTTTTAGAATTTTGACTCTATTCCATCCTATTTTGTGGTTGTTAGTTAATGCATACAGTGCCATAGCTAAGTTTTTCTCTAATTCGCTTATCTTCGTGGGATCAATCATTCTAACCTTATCTAAATTCTTATATTCTGATCATCTCAATACTCCTGATCTACTAATCTGACCTATGCAGTTGACCTCACAGTCATTTGTGCTCGAAACGTCAGCATCAGTAAATATTACTGTGTAACACTGTGCTTTTATCAAAATAAAATTTTATCCATAATGGTTGTTAATATTTTCTGGTTGATTATCTGATCTTCAGTATGGAGAAAATTTTTTATTTTTTTATTTTTGATTACAGCTTGATTCCACACTGTATTTTTGGTACAAGTATGGAATTTTCAGCGTGGATATCGGTAGCCCAAAATTCGCAGGCCGACCATAGATATCAAGTGTGCGTCGGCGTGGGCTCGAACCCCGGACCATGTGCATGATCGGTGAGAGTCCTAACCACTGTACCACCGACGCACAGTTGTTGTGCAGTTGTTGTTAGAGCTCTGAAGCCTGTTAGGAATATTTTTCATGATACGCTCGATAAGTCTGTGAACCACTGAGAAGAAATGAATGACAGTAGTGCTGTAAATCCGAATCTTGTTCCTTATATGCTGAGCGCAGCAGATATGCACATTGATATTGGAATAATTAATGTCTGTTTTGCTTTTCTGATCCAATCCCGACTAGCTTCAGTAACTTTTTCTGTGCCATCAATAACTGAAATGAATTCGCCCGTATTAGTGAAAGTGGTGGCTTCTTTCGAATCCATCAGTAAAGCACCAAATATAGTTCAAGAAGTTTTATACTTAAATCTGGTGTTGCTGAATTGAGCAAGCATAGCAGAAGATTAGACGAGATGTGTTTGTTCACCGGCTGATCTCTAACTGAAGGTGAATTAAGGTTAAGACTGAGACTTTGATGCTAAATAGAATTTATACAAATTGATCTGTGATATTCAGGTGTTGGTTTGCAGGGATTTGATGCTTACTAGGGACTAGCCCTATTCAAGTAGGTAGTTATCTGAAGTCCAGCGAGAAGTCGTGAGTACAGCAAGCTAGATGTGAAGACAAATACTCGTCGATGACATTGGCTGGTGGTGGCTGCGCTTTATCTCGAATTGGTTGAATTTGGAAATCAAGGACCATTGGATTGGGCCCCAGTGGCTGAATGGTCTACGAGCTCATCTTGTAACTGGAAAGTCATTGGTTCGAAACTCAGAGGGTTCGTACTGCCGGTTAGTCCCAAAGTAGGAAGACACAAGTGTTCAGTACTCCCTAGTTTTCAATGGTTCTCTAACTGATGTCCGATCATGATAAAATTCTACAACTAATCTCTGGTAATTAATCTGAAAGCTGTGTTTGAAACGTATAGATTGAATAACAGAGCTCAAAGGGTCATCTAATGAATTTCAGGTTGCTTGATTCAACAGTATCAAAGCAGAAGTTAATAGCTAAATTTTGAAGCTGTAACCATGTGTTCTAAAGTGAATGTATCATTTTCAATTGACGAGATAAACTCAGGGATCAGACTAGGTGGGTTTTGTGTGGGGAGAACTAATATGGACTTCTGAGAGCTATCGAATTGCAAGCTTTCTGCATAGCGAGTATTTCGACCGACAGATTTGGTTATATTCAAATGTAGATCTTTTTTCCACAATAAGAAAGGATAAAGAGAGTGTCACACGGAGACCGAGAGTAACTTTAGTGGCATATCTACAACTAATCAACTTGAAAAAGCGATTTCTGTTTCAGACACGTGCACAATTGGTAGTGATCTTTTAGGTTTATCTCTCGTTGAAGTATATAAAAAGGGTTTGCAGCACTGATGCCAGTTACTACCACTTCAGAAAACTTTATAAAGCATAATTTTTGCCTGTCAGTTCCATCTCTTGTAGCCTTGAATTTATTTGAAATGATTGTGAAACAGACATTAGTATTAATTCTGTGACCAGATATTAATAAACCTCTTCTTAATGGATGATGCTAGATTTCTATTCACATCAAGTGTATTTGTTTTCCTGGACACTTCACTGACCAGTCTGAATGACGAACATTAGAAGAAGCGTAGTGGACGATACCTTCATTTCAGCAGCTTTATTTCTATCAAATATAGACGTTTCCTAACGAAATGTCTATTACATAGAGTGAACTTATCTGCACCATTGAGAATGGCTTCGAGCCAAGTCACCAATAGTTCCCAGCCATTGGCTTCTAGCGTCTCCAAAAAGACATTTCACACTTCCCTGTGCTGCCTAAACCAAAGACGTGATTGATACCAAGTTTTGATTTGATCACTCCTAATTCTTTGGAATCCTAATCCTATATTGGCTAATATGCGTCGACAAGGAAGGCGATGGACTGATAGACGTAGCATCTGTCCTAGACATCTCAGTCAATGCTACTTCACAACCCCATCAATTGGTTTCTTCTTCCTACCTAACCTGTTTTTTTTCCTTCACGTTCCCAAGTGGAACATAGGGCCTCAAGCTAGAGGCTTGAAGTTTCTGTAGCAGTGTTTATTTTCCAGGATGGGGTTGCTAGCCTCATGCACAACCTTTCCTCTTTACCAGCATTATTTCTGGCTTAGCGAGGTAAAGGAGTGCGTCGGCTGGGGATCAAACCACCGACCATGTGCATGGTCGGCGAGCGTCCTAACCGCTATGCAAGCGACGCACTTAACCTAACTCTGTACGCTTACCATAAGTATTACTCATCATATTATACAGTAGACACTTATGGTCAAATACAGTTTTTAAGAAGGGTAATAAATTTCCCCGGATAATAAATGGGAGATCAGCTTGGCTAACATGGTGACCAGGACACCAGCTATTACAATGAAATAGTAGAAGACGAAGATATATTAAATGAATGTCTATCTGGTAATTGGTATCTCAATATAACCAAATTGTGTATACTTTATCTTCAACGCACCTTTTGCATACATTTTCGTGTTTTGGTACTTCTGGACTTCATATTGTGTTTCATTGTGTCCCTTTCCTTCTCCCATGTATTTCTACAACGCTGTATCATTTGCCTTCTCCGAAATCAAATTTATCCCCCTGTTATTTGATGTTTTTTTGTTGATAAACGCCTCTTTATATACTTTATCGGATTTAGTAATAAAAGTGTATAAACAAAATCTACTAACAAAACAACGACTGTACAGAAATTCGTGAAGTGTGGCCTAAATGCTCCGAAAATCTCAAATACAGACAATACTACTTCGCATAACACTTCTTCAGATAGACAGGTACTTCATTCTATTGATTGCCTAGCACCAGCAATGAACAGCCTCACCCTTTTCTTCAGTTTGACTCTATCCATTAGCAAAACGAGAAATTCTAGTTGACTCACTGGTACAAAGATAGGTGGACAACTATACACCATCTACTGTCATACCTACAGGGCGAAACCACCTCCAATCAAGGTGGAACAGAATCGAAATGAGGGGCCGGCTGAAGTATACCGTTTATCTATTTATTTTAAAGCAAGATTATTAATTACTAAAAAAGTCAATTTTTTAATCTTTGTTTTTGATGAATTTTCAAATGCATAAAAGTTTTTTTCAACTATTTTCTATTCATAGGTCATTGATTTAGGCGTTGTACTACACCCTGGTTCATATTTTCGTGATACATGGAATATACTTGATGCAATTGTTGTCTTCTTTGCCTTAGTAGCTTTTGTAGTTAGGTAAGTAGATTTTTTATGTATCTATTCAACATCATGATTTCTATGTGTTCAATGTTTTCAACATTGAATAGACTTATAGATTTTGTTTGAATACAGCATCGTTGAATGAGAAAGAATCGTTTGTATACATCTAATTCATTTATCTGATGGCTTGTTTATCTTTCATAATAAATTATATTTTTTTAATTATTTTTGTTGTTGAAAGTCAACTTCCGCCAGTTTATGCATCCTTCTTTCATTCACATTGTTTGACAGTTGTATCAGATATAATAAACAAGCGTGTAGAGTGTGATATTCTTACAAAAGAAAATAAATCGGAAGCCAAAAGAGATTTCTTTGTGTGGAGACAAAAACACCCCGTATGTCAAACGGACTTATTTTCATTAAGGATACTGCCGTAGGAGACGACTGTATTGAGAATAACGCTATCTAAGGCAAGGCTTATACCTGAATAATATGTGTAATAGACTGAATATGTTTATTTTAAATTATGCAGGTCAACCATACGGTGTTTTACCTGAAATCCTGTCACTGTATTCACTTTCTCATCTGTATTCGTCATTCCTTGGTCTGATATAAGACACATGTCCCACTTAGCCATCCTAATTCGCTCATTTATTGTCTTATATAGAATTTAGAAGACAAAGAAACATAACCTACTTATTTAGCTCTACATATATATGCATATATATATGTATATAATATTTAAGAAGTAATCTCTATTGATAATATTAATGTGTTTTACTGATATTGAGTTGTTATAATCAATAAAATTACAATCGAGAAGCATCTACAAACGAGAATAAGGATAAAAAGGTGACACTAGATATAGTATCAGATAAAAATAAGCGAAATTTATGCGGCGATTTGAGATGGTGAGAAAAACTGGTGGTGGTCATGGTTAAGACAATGCCTGGATGAATTTCTTTTGAACATATAATTTAGGCTTCTGAGTGTGCGTTTCGACAACTTCAGCTACATATAAAAGATGAACTATTAAGAGAAAATTGAGATAAGTTGGAATACAGTGTGCGTCAGTGGCACAGCGGGAGAATGCTCGCCAACCACGCATGTGGTCTAGGGTTCAGTGTCCGGCTGACGCACTCCTTTACCTCACTAGGCTACTAGTAAGACTGGTAAAGAGGAAAGTTTGGGCATGAGGCTGGCAATCTAATCCTGTAAAAATAAACACCACTGCTACCGAAATTTCAAGCCTCGAACTTGATGCCATATTTTTCACTGGGAACGTGAAGGAATTTAAAAAAATAAATAAGCCTTATTGAAATCGATTTTGCGTTTGGTATCAGCTAAATGAGTTAAAACGGAGCTGTGAATAGACTTTGTCTGTCCACTCGATAAACAATCAGCGTTATGTTTAGAAATCCGATGATGAACACGCCTAATGGTACTACACTGAGTGTGACTGGCTTCACGTGAGCAGTCAAATTTAATATTATGTGTAATGCATATTATAACTTGCACATGCTTTTGAGCAGTAATTCCATTGACATTAACAACTCAACATTATGCAGAGAACAGCATTATTGTCAGTAACAATTATTCTTTAAATATAATATATATATATATATATATATATGTAACTATAGGGCCATATGTCGGTGCAGTTGAAAGGAACATTTTTTGCTTAAATTTGCTTCGTTGTGTTCTGAATACTCATCCACATAAATACTGTCAACTCTTTGTCTGTATGGTTCAGTCATTTTATTCTTCCAATAATACTTACCCAGATGACAGCTGAATTGGCTGTCATGGTGAGGCTTGTAGCCTTCCAACCTACTAATTATTTGGGTTTGAGTTTTCCAGTTGCAAAACCATATGTTGTTACTAAAGAGGATTCATTTATTTAATCCAATCTAAAATTAACTGTCTAATTAATTATTCTGTTGGAGTTTTAATAGTTCGCGGCGAAAATTACTAGCATTTATATTTGAGCCTGAGGATTGGTGATCCTGTATCACTTTGTAGTGTAAACAAAACTTAGTCCGACAGTACGCTACCAGAATTTACTCTCGCCCTGGCCAGTTCGTAATCGACTGAGCCGGAGAGCCTTCCCAGTTAGCTACAAACGTTGCATCTGCTTAGCACCCATGCGTACTAAAGGTGCACTGAGGTACCTCTGGAGAAGTAATCCCGACCGCCAACCCATACACCAATGGCTTACTCACATGCTCTTGTGGAAAACCACGTTAGGTGTAAAATATCATACTACAGTTTTTACACCATCTTGTTAAGCAGGGATGACTTGCGGCTCCAATTAGATCCCCACATGAAGCTGAAAAGCCGACTGTATACCAGTCAGCCGAGCTACAAAGTTACATGTATCAGTTTACCTGCAGTTAATAAATAAGTATACAAGCTACAGCATAATATTTTGGAGAAATAAATAATGGCCAAGCTCTCGAGTAAATATGTAGCAACAATGAGAAATTTTCTCCACGCTCATTCAAAAAGAGGACAGTGTTGACTACCAAGATGCTGCAGGCAGCACCCAGAATTATAGCTATCATTTAGGATTGAGGATAAGACATAGTAATACCTAAGGAATACACAAAACAGCTAATTTACGGACACAATATTAGCGCAGCTATGACTTAAGATGAAGCTGTAGACTCATAGACGGAGTTGACGTACAGGTGGAACCTGCCGGCAGATATTGTCACTTTCAATGGTGATTACAGTGTCCCGAATTACAAGTCAAATAAGTCAGTAGACATTGACTTCAAGAAAATGGAAGATATTTATTGAAATATCGGCTTTGTATTTTAAGTTAGACCACAGACTGATACCAGTTAGGGAACCACTGGAAACTGGGAGTACTGAACACCTATTTCGTCCCAGTTTAGTACTCATCGGCAGTGTGCATCTGCTGGCTTTGAACTCAAGACCTCCCAGTTACAAGGCAAGTTCATAGAGCATTCAACCTCTGGGACCCGATTCAGTGGCCCGTGAACTCTAACTATTACCGATTCGTGATTTTAGCGCAACCACCAGCCAGTGTTATTGGTGAGTATTTGTCCACGTGCTCGATTGGGTGGACATCGCTGGTCACGACTTCTCATTAGAACTCTAGCAAAGGCCGTCCTGTAGCCACTTACTAGCGAGCATTACGTTAAATTTAAAGGCTTGGTTTGACCGATGGTTGCGTACTACTGATGATCCCCAAACTAGGACAAAATAGCTGCCCAGTACTCCCTGGTATTCAATGGTTCTCTGATTGATATCAGTCCGTGAATATACTTGAAAAAAAAATCAAGTCCCTACAAACTAACTGCTGGAAACAGATTTCATTTTTACTGAAGTAGACAAATGATTTAACTTATTCAGGCTGAAAATAGTCTGTGTAATATTGAATTTCGTTGTTGCGTAACTCAATTCTCTTTCAGACTTGTCTATATACCTGAAAAATACCGTTAAGCTAACATTTCAGAAGATTCTTTCAAAAATGTTTGAGAGTTGTCCTTCTTCAAAACTAATGCGACTATAGAAGTTCTTTTCCTGAAACACTTCACGTAAAAGTGGACAATATATTTTTCTCCACTTACTCTAACTACAGAATGAATTTATAGAGTTATTTATGTTTTGTGTATTAAAATAAGTGTGTTAAAAGTCTTGAGGAAAATAAATGTACGCTTACATATTTCCCAAATCATATCCTATCAGTCACTGCTTGAAAATTCAGTTATTCATAGTAATGACGAGTTTAAACAACGGTGTAAATATGTCCGCAACATATTCCGTTTTACTTGGCTGTCGTATGCAAAGTTTAAGTTAAACCATCTTAGCAAAACCAGCAACATAACAAAACTCCCACTAGTAACGACTACGGACGACGGTGTTTGAAGTCCTGATGAGACGTTGTGACCACTGAGGTCTCCCGGCTTGTATGTAGGGACAAAGACATTTGCTGGAGATGGCCAAAGAATACCTGAATTGACAGAGTTTAGAATTCATGAGCCATCAGATCCAGTCCTAGTCGCTAAATGGTAAGCAGCTTGTCTCGTAACATGAGGATCCTGCCTTCGACCCCCGCCGGAGGGGGTGGATGTGTGAATTAACAGTCCCAAACTAGGACAATACAGCTGTCGAATACTATTTGGTTGCCAAAACTAAACTAATGAAATCCTTAGCAACTAACACTTGATAGTTATGGATGTACAAATCGGCCATTGACTGCAAGGCGTATTCACTGCTGCGTCATCTGTACACTACAGCCAAATTAGCTAGTGAATTTGAGAATGAATTAAGTATAATGCAGAAATGAACTTAGGGGTAAGCTGTCAAGAGGTTATTCTGGTTACCTCAGTAAAAGAGTAGCTGACTTTAGTACATAAATATCAAAGCGAAAATGAGTTTTCTGACGGTTTTGAATCCACGTTTTTAATGCGTGAGTAAAACCTAAATAGTACAATGTCTTCTGCCGATATACACATAACATTCTATTTCAGATGATGAATTATATGAGTTGAATTTTTCACTCACAGAACTATAGACTATATAATCTTCTCTGGACTTTCATGATGACATAAAGCTGATACGACGGATAACCAAGAGACAGACTAATTCACACTTTCCTTAATCTGATCGTTTTTTTCAGCCAAATTCATCGTATCTTGCTTGCTCTAGTCAACTTATGGATTTTCTGTCAATGTTTCTTCCTTATAATAAAATGGTGTATTTTTATGTAAGAACCATTAAGTGTCTAGCATATGGATTATGTGTCGGTGCTATTATGTCCACTGGATAAAACGTTTAAAAATGCTTTCGAAGAGAGAGAGAGATGGGATATTGAAATGAAATAATCGGATTAATGATAATAAGAAGCAACAAATCACCAGGGCAAAAATTGAGTTTGAGTGTGTCTTGTTTAGGCTCTCACTATTTTTAAGTTTTATGCTAACCTTTGCTGCAAACTTACGCTAACATTCTAGAACTGACTTACTTATTCATAAGATAAATCTGAAATTCCTCTACACAAATGCCTGTCCTTTTATGAATTATGAATACCCAGTCACATTTAATGGAAATTGTCACCACTTCTTTAACGTTTTATTTAGTGGATGATAGGAGGTGTCGTTTTGTACTTACTGTTATGATGAGGCTAAAAAGACATTTTCTAGTTACACTTGTGCTTAATCAGGTAGATAGCAGCAGACGGCTTTATTTTTAATGTCGTTGTGTTGCATGATCTGGGTGCGGATTTCGTTAGGAAGCATTCCTTGTCATTCTGGACAACACCATCAAAGCAAGCTTTAATATGAAGTGAACATATTTGGACCAAGTTAAACTTTAAGCATCACTTACTACCAATGGAGTGTGACCACACCAATGACCTTGAAACGCTTACTGGGCAAGTTAGTGAAACCTGGCAGATAATGTTGTCATCATCAATAAAATATGCTCATCGAAGTGTTATGCTATTTAATGGGATTTCTGCCAAGTTTCAGCTTAGATTAAGAAAGATTCAGTTTCGCTTTAAGCCAAGGACAAGTTAGGGTTCGGTTAACCCATTAAGACGACATTAGGGTTTATAAAATTATATTTGTAAAATCTCAGCGAAATTGAAATGATTAATTCCAACGTTTCGTTCGGCAATCTGGTCCGAACTTCTTCAGGGAAATGAATCGAAATTAACATAACAAAGTTTATATATAAAAGGGACATCTCTTGTTTTTAAAACTTTATCCAATCATGAGCCATGCAACAGGTATCAACATGTATAATAAATAAATAAAATTGTATGTTTATATATAAAAGTACATCTGTTGTTCTAAATTGTTTGTCCTGTCATATGAATCAAGAAACAACGTTTTAAAACAAGAGATGTCCCTTTTATATATAAACTTTGTTATGTTAATTTCGATTAATTTCCCTGAAGAAGTTCGGACCAGATTGCCGAACGAAACGTTGGAATTAATCATTTCAATTTCGCTGAGATTTTACAAATATAACTTTATAAATGTCTACTTCTCACTCAGTGCTCAATTATTTTGCAACTATCCGGTCAAATCTTGATCACAGTTCATATGACATTAGGTTTGTTTCCAGTTAGATTATAGTTAGTTTAGGGATATTTCCACGTTAGGGTTAGATTCAGGAAAGATTAGGGTTATTGTTAGGGTTAGAAGACCTAAATAATTACATGCATCGAATGTGGTTAAATTACTCTGCTGATATCAGAATAGTACTTGTGCACTGTGGTAAAGTATAATTCCATTGTGGGTAACATTTATTTTGATAAAGTCTTACAGTGTTATACAGTCTAATTTACTGGTAACAACGCTTCAAGTACAATTTATCGCTCAGGAAATGAAATGGAATTATACTCTGTTGATACCCCAACCTAAAACTGAGATCTATTTTATCATATTTGAAAGTAAGGTACCCTATGTAACACTTTTCTACAGTTTTTATGCGTTATTTCATAAATATATGTATTCTATGCACAAAAATGCCTCCTTCACGTGATCGTTGCATCCGAGGTCGTTCGCTGATTGGCAGTTAGTGGTGCTTAAAGTTTAACTTTGGTCTAATTTGAATTCACCATGAATGATTTAACTATATCGCCTGGCAACCTTCATCATGAGTGGTTGTCAATTTGCTTTAGTACATATCGCTTTTTATTGACTTGAAATTTGCCCTATTCTGTTATGTGGCTTATTTCTTATTAGCTGATAGATATGATCGATAATAATGTCTCTAAGACACTGATTCATCTAATTAACAGGCTTCGAGGAGTTCCCTGGCATTTGTAATGTCTTCACTACTGAAAATCTCTATATTTCACCGGTCAGATTGGTTTTCTTCAGTGGTCTACTTGCATCAGTATGCAACAATAAACGTCCTCTCTTTTGACAGCTGGCTAGTTGAGGGGAATGCCTATTTTAACCAACATACTGTTTATCACGGCTTAAGTAATTTCTTTTGTAAATGGTATTGTTTAGTCTTATTTTCTGCATGGTACTGAGTGAAGCGACTGTCTTGGTCTGTGTGCTACATCTATTTCGAATTGTTTTAATATTCTAAGCGTTATTTCAGTAACAGGTTTTACTTACAGTAAATGAACTTTCTTGTGATTTTCGGGAATAATTTCTTGTTGGTAGTTTGATTCATGCTCACTTGTATATCACGTATATATCAACTTACGAAATCCCTGGGGTAGACGTGGTGTTCGGCTAGTTGTTGACCAAAGGACGTATGTACCGCTCAGTGGTTCGCCGTGTCCTTCTTTATGGCTTCGCAAATTGACCATTGCACGTGGAACACATGTAAAGGCCAACTAGCTCTCTTTGATCATAGGTATCTGAGTTCTGTCTCCCTTGTAAGTGATGAAACCAATGGGCTATCCAAATTTGTTCAATAATTCTTCTTTGAATACTGCTTGTATATAATGAGTTTTGTGTCTTGTTGGATCATTGCTTTTACGGTTGAGCATTTATTCTGTGTGGGTTGATTTCCGACATACCTGTGTCTCCAGATTTCTCTTGTTTGTTGGCTTGACTAAGATATTATCTAAGAAAGGAAATTTTTTATCTAATTCTTATTATCTTGTTAAGCTGAATTTGTCTTCGATTACGCTTTTAGACCATTTGGCTAGTGGCATTCATTCAATGTGATTTACATAATCTCCTTAAGTCTTATTGTTTTAGAATAAATTTCATTTAGTTTGTATTGTGCAACTAATCTGTCAATGTTTTCATTATCTTATAATTTTAGATCGGCTACCTCATTAGGGTAAGTTTGATTTGATTTAAACTTATTGCCTATTTAAATCTCCTACATACATAACACTTTGAAATATTTTCAGTATGTGATTCAAATATATTTAATTAAATATTACAAATACGGACTGTTTATCTGTGAAGTCAAATAAGTCTGACGATGTCCATCCGCTAGAGTTTTAGACCTCTTAGATACCTAATTCGAATCTACAGTTATTTCAGCATTTTAGAATAGTTTTAACAGGGTGCCAGATAATGCCAGTTGTGGTAGTGGCTAGTCATCTCCTTTAAAATCTACTTTAAGATGTTTTGAAAAACAAAGTTCAGCGATGAGTCTCTTTTCGGTGGCGAATTCATTCACTTGGCTGTACAATCGCATTTATATGTAATTATTTTGTGTGTGTGTACATTAGGATTGTCGAACAAAATTAAGTAAAAAATTGGTTAAGGTTACTGTTTACATCATCAGAATGTTTCTGAACTGTGATGAATAATCAAAATTTCAACTAGGAGAGAGGGGGCGAAGATTGGTAATTACTGGCGAAGGTTGCGTAATATGAAATAGGGTGTTAATGGAAACACGTGTCCAAAAAATAAATTGTGTAATAGGTAGAAAGACTAAATAAAGGGGGTGGTTAATTAGATGTTACTAGGACACCATACAAAAATTAAAAAAAACAGAAAAAGAGAATAAAACATTATTAACAAAGTCGTAGTGTGGTGAGAGCTGTCTGCAAGCCAAAATTGTAAACAACAATTTACGTCAATGTTTACGTCCCAAATCGTGGCCATGAGAAAAAACAGTAACACAGCTTAACCTTGAGGAATTCACTAACCAATCACAGAAGACTTAACGTGTCCAAATATGATTCGCAGATATATGGCTTAACTTTTTAAGAAACGGTCACAAGCAGTACGGAATAACCTTCAGCGAGAAAATAACCAATCAGAAGACGTTGCTTCTATGCTAACAATAACGCTAATAATAATGTACATATAAATCTATAAATATCTCTTAATTTTCTCAATAAGCGATGTGTTTCCTGGCCCTTGTCTTCTGTCGTTACAGTAGGATAAGGAGTTATACCCAATTTAGAAGAGTGGGGATGGAAAAAGACTTCAAGCTTTTACAAAAGTTTAGTAAGTGCATTTGAGCATCTTAAAATGAGGGTGAAAGTATCTAGAACATTGGTAGGCTAAATTGACTTTATGTTAAACCGTGACAGATACTTTCATACTTGAAATACGTTCTTGTTATGCACTCATACAGCACACTGCAAGGAAGAGAGAATTTGTCACTTTGTACCTTCTTGGAAAACCTAAGTTTATAGAAAAATACTGTCCCGTGATTAGACACTGAGTTACTACATGGCCGAAATGAACAGTATTTCTGTGTGTCATGATAAAACATTAGAATAACATGTTATTGGTTAATAACTTTCAACTACCATATATACTTGTGAATTTTAAGTACTATAAGTACACTGAGTTTATCGTCGTCACTTTTGACACATGAACTCCTATGAATGAATGTTCTAGTATCCCTTGATTTTTGAATTGTAAACACTCCTGCTTAGAACACTAACACTCTCTAAATATTAAAAAAAAAATACGTTTTTGTATTCACCGTTCACCAACACCAAACTAGCTTTCATTAATGTTCATTTTTTAATATTTTAATGTTGCAGACGAATTGGAACCAGTACATCTGCAAAGAATTTAAACACTATCAAATCATTACGTGTACTTCGTGTTCTTCGACCTTTAAAAACAATCAATCGTGTGCCAAAATTAAAAGTAAGTTTTCACGTATGAATTTTGTCATATTACTAAAATATATTATTAAAATGATTAGCAAAATGGCTGGCAAAATAACAGTCTCATTACGAGTTATGTCACGAATCGACACCAGTTAGATAACCAGTAAAAGCAAGGGATTGCTGGACAGCTGTGCCATCATAGTTTGAGACTTTAAACATCACGCAGCAGTGGCCCACACGGAAATGAACCTGACAACTTTGGGTTACCAAGCGTACTCGTTGACTATTCAGCAGCTGAGACAGAATCCAATAAGATGTGCACTCTACGCTTTGGCAGTTTACGGTACATATTTCTAGGGAATGCAAATTGGGAACTCTGAACTACTATGAAACAGCTGTACATCACTTTCTTGTTTTCAGTGGTTTTCTAGCTGGTGCCATTTCATGATGTAACCTGAAGTTTAATTTGTTTTCTTACACAGTTCTACTGGGTTAATCCTGAAGATACTGCTTACAAAGAACAAATACAGCTTCGTAAATAGACCTTCCAATTCTAAAAGCGTAATTGCACCAAAATAATTCATTTTAGAAACAAATTTTTCCTAATGCTTCTGCAGTGTATTCAAGCGTTAGTTTGCGGGGATATGTCTCGTTTCAGGATCTCATCATATGCCGATCGGAAAACTTGGGAGAACTGGACAACTGTTTCGTCCTAGTTTGGGGCTCTCCGTCAGTACGCACCCCCTAAGTCTGAACCCAGAACTTTTCACTTACAAGGCGAGCTCGTAGACCATTAAACCACTGAGACACGATCCAATGGCACTCGAATTCTAATTTCTACCAATTCAAGATATAGCGCGACCACAAGCCGATGTCATAGGCGTGTATCTGTTCTCGACTGGTCACGAATTCTCACTAAAGCCCGGGTAAAACCTACCTGAATGGGGCTAGTCGCTAGTGAACACTAGGCTGATATGCTTATTTACCGAAAATAAACAGTAAACAGGTGGCTATGTTGACTCAGTGGACAATGCTCTGGCATTTGAGACGACGTGTTTTGTGCTGAAATATTAGTAGGAACACTAACAATCACTGGAGAGCGAGAGAGAGGACATCTAGCTGACGAGCTCCCAGTAAGATTGTGCAGCTATCCAGCACCAAAACCAAGTGACTCTATTTGGTTAATTCTGGTAATATCTAGGCATGTGTTAACTAAGTCTGAACGTGATCAATATGGTCACACAGGTAAATGAAACATCACAAACATGAGTTAATACATATTAAATTGGTGAACTTTTCATAAATTTAAACAAAATAGTCAGAGTCAGTTTTTTTAAAATAGCAACACCTTAAAATAAGTTAGACTCGATCAAACTGATGTAGACGTGTCTATATTTTACGCTTAAATCAGGTGATTTTATCCGTTTCATTTCCTCGTCTGATTATTCACTGGTGATTGCTACGTTTCACTGCTAGTTTGGAATGAAATAAACATAATTATAGTGTACAGTGTATTGTGATGCATTATAATGGTTGTACGTAATAGATCACAAACTCGAGGAAAAGATTTAATTAATTAACGATGAACAAGACATCATAACCGACTGATTACGCATATGAAATTTGTTCATCAGTTTATATTTTTCTTTGATTGTGTGCGTTTTTCATAAGGTTAACTGAATGGAGGTATGCTGTCTACACCTTAATTAGTTTATTTCTCAAAATAGAAGAGGCTTTATTTTCATTTATAAGAAGTCTAGTATAATATTCTCTACTGGACACAAAATAAACCAGCAAGCTACCTGAAGTACACCTTGTTAGTGCTCAGGAAAAAGTCAGGCGAAAATTTCATTTTCTTCAACGTAGTTCTTTTTTCATCTGAGTTTTTTCTGTTAGAGTTGAATGAGAAACAGTGAGGAATTGAGAGAAAATTCTCTCCGTATAGTTTTTTTAGCATAAGAAAAGCTAGAGTTGTTAGCTATAACTAACAATCATGCTTGTTTTTAATTCAGTTTTCATCTGCCCATCGACCGATAAGACTGAAGAATTCGGCCTTTATTGATATTTCGGCTCATAGTAGTGACGCTTCGACGATGTCTGTGGATTAACTTGTAGCAATTTGATGGATGGTGGCTAGTAGTTTAATCCACGTATCGATGTAATCGGGATTCGTCAGATGGATGTGTCTGCGTTCTCTAGTGAGTTATGGTGTTCCTTGTAAGACTTGGACGCAGTAGCCATCGATTCGAACCCCTGGAATTATCTTAAAATGTTGTTATTTCAAGCCAACTCCGATGAATCTTGTGTAAAAAAAGCCAACAGTTTAGTAGGCATTTTCTCGATTGATAAATTCGACCGTATTGATCAGGTTCAGGCTTTTTGATTGGACACCTGGATATTATCATGGTCAGGAATACAAAATTTATGGTGTGATATCGGTAGAACTGCACAAGTGACCCATCTACTTCTCAGTGAGTGATAGTGTTCCCACTGAGGCCCAATATTTGAAACAGTGTGTACTGCGTTCGAGTCTCATTGAGATTTGCGGACGTACCTGGCTAACGAATTCCAAAAAGGAGGAGATATGCAACTTGGAGTCCACTACTCGTTACCATATACCAAATTACAATAATCATTCTGCCTTCAGGCACTACATAGACGAGACTTGAAGTCCCTTAGATATACAGATGGTGCACACTTGTGTAGTATGCCACGACATGATTATTTTCGAAATACAGCTGAAATGAGGCCTTATCTGTATGAATGCTTTCAGTCAGACTTGTATTCCTATGCAATAACAAATTAGTCAAGCATTTCTTGTAATCTTGAATGTATTTCGTTACTATACGGAATAAGATTAGTCTAAAACAATTAGTTCCCCTTATGAATTTAGACAAGGCAATAAGAAGAGGTAATTTGCCTGAATCGTGTAATGCATTTGCGCAACACATTTCGAACAATCTGATCACATACAGACTTGTCATAGGAGTACATACGAAATTAATAAAGAGGTAAGAGGTGAGAAAATAGACCACTTGGGTCAAGTTAAAAGGACACATTCAAAGTCAAAATGACAATGAAGCCACTAAACCAATTAGCAGAGGTAATAGTACATCTACCGTGACTGATATCAAAACAAAATTTACCAAGGAAGGCTTAAAATGATGACGAATTGTTTTTGAACGCATAAAGGTGGTTCAAACTTTCTGATTGCCAGAGCAATTTCCTCAGCACTGTTCACTTATTGTGGAACGTTTTGTCAACTGACAATATGTAAAAGTGCAATTATCTTAAAACTTTTCTGCAGGTAAACCTGATAACTTATTCAGGCTGTAAGCAGCTGATGAGAAGCCAATGAAACAAATGATGGTACCACATTATTCTGCACAAACCACTGTTGTTCTTGCCTTATTCAAATGGCTTCCACAAACTTTAGGATACACCCCAAACACGTTTCAGAGATAGGTTTAAAGGATCTGTTAACGTCAATTTTATGTCCTGTCTCTATAATATATTTCGCAATATAAGAGCTAGGTCTCCTGTTCTCACCGTTAATAGGTTCTGAAGAATCCATTTGTTTCTGGAGCCATTTAGGAATATATAAAACGTGTTTGGGGCGTATCCTAAAGTTTGTGGAAGCCCTAGCTGGCAATTAGAATGTTTGAACCACCTTTATGCGTTCAAAAACAATTCGTCATCATTTTAAGCCTTCCTTGGTAAATTTTGTTTTGATACCAGTCACGGTAGATGTACTATTACCTCTGCTAATTGGTTTAGTGGGCTTCATTGTCATTTTGACTTTGAATGTGTCCTTTTAACTTGACCCAAGTGGTCTATTTTCTCACCTCTTACCTCTTTATTAATTTCGTATGTACTCCTTTGACAAGTCTGTATGTGATCAGATTGTTCGAAATGTGTTGCGCAAATACATTACACGATTCAGATAAGATTAATCGTCAGATAGTTACGAAATAATCTCATTTAAAAGCAAATGCATGAAAATATAAACTCAAATGCCACTCGAATGGCTGAGATGTTAGTTTTATTATGAGAAAGAATGGAAAATTAAGTGTTTTGAGCAGATAATTTATTCTAGAAATTATACAGTGTTATACATTCATGAAATGATTCAGAATCATGGTGATGATTGCCACTTTACTCAATTTTATTGGCTCTTCATGTCTCATACTTTACAGATTTTATAACTGTGCTTTATACCGCGACTGTCACAATTGAATTTATTAAGGACGTTGGGTAATGGTGGAGAAAGGGAAGAAGTTGGATTCCTAAAGCAGTGGAATTCAAATCGATAACGACTTTATTCACAGTAGTGAAATTTTCACATTTGCTTGTGAATATAGTTGGTGTTGCTTGCCTTTGAGTCAAACCAGACTAAGATTTAATATCATTCTGATTTCTACCGGAGATTTAAGTAGCATTTAAAAGTATTTATGTCTTCATTTTCGAAATCACAAACAAAAAACATTGGTTATTCGTCAAAAAATAGTAAATTACCTTTGTATACATTGATAATTGTCTTATTTTTTTCCTCTCTTTCTCAGGCTGTATTTGATTGCGTGATCAGTTCATTGAAAAATGTTTTCAATATATTAATTGTATATTGGCTTTTTCAATTCATATTTGCTGTAATTGCTGTACAATTATTTCAGGGAAAATTTTTTTATTGTAATGATGTCTCTAAAGTGACAAGAGAAGATTGCCAGTAAGTGGGTTTTTTGTGCTTATTTTTCCTGTTGTTGAATCACTGTTACATAAGTGGTGTGTTAGTGTGTTGTTTATTGTCGTCTTCCAAATGAAATATGCATCCATGTCTTAGCTTGAATAAGCCGTTGTGTATCATTTATTACCCGACAAATATTTCGACTTTAGTCTTTGCCTACTTGTAAGTAGTCAGCGGTTTACATTGATATTTGTAATAAGTTTTACCGTAATGCTTATTTTAATCATTATTATTATTATTCCCTCGGGTTCCGAGTAGTAAAGTTGACTTCAACAGTAAACCTTTGTTTCAATCTCTTCTTTACAATCCATTTTTGCCAACTTCGGCATTGCCTATGGACTTTCATATAATTCTCATACGATCTCCTATCTGTCACTCTAGGACCACGCCTAAGTTGTCGCTTGCCATTCAGGTTCCAGACAAAATCAGACCTATTGTGTAATGCCACAGAATGACCTCCTCAGTGTGTGTCCTATCCACCCCCATTTTCCTTTGCATATTTTTGGTTTTTGGTTGATTTCTTGCCTTCCAAAGTTCCATGATGAGAATATTTTATGAACGATTATCTGATCATGTGAAGAGGAGATGAAAGCATGTGGGCAGACTTAGAGCGGGGTGAAAAAGTTGGCAAAAAACCGAAGGAAATGAAGATGCGCAGCTGAAGCCCTATTTTCCTCTAGGAATTAAAGGATATAATAATAATATCTGATCCTCAGTATAGAGCCAGCAAAGTCATCTGATGATGAAATTCCGTTCGAAATACTTTCGATGATGTGCGCGTCAAGTCTCGGAACCACGTATAAGCAATGACTTGACAATAGTGTTAAAAATTCCAATCATGTTCTTTATACTTAGTGCAGTAGACTTCCAGACTGATTTCATATTAATGAAGGCCTGCCTTTACGTTTACAGAATTTATTTGGAAAGCAGCGAAATTCCGTCATTATAAAACCTTATCTTATTTTTTTAGATGTACTAAATGCTTGGGAGTTTGTCAGTTCAGATAACTGAATAATTTTATCACAGTCTTGATTCTCGCCTTTATGCGTTGAATAATATAGGACTTTGTACAGGTGTGCAGCAGTTCGAGTTTCCAATCTCTCTTCCAGCAGCACACAAAGCAAGAGAAGAAAGTAAAAAAAATGCAATACAGAGACAGTAAACAAATATCTGGGGCAAAAAGAATAGTAATATCGAAGAACCATATGGTTTTATTGGACATTATAAGTTACAAGGAGTGGATGCATCTACGCCAGGCATTGAGCCATATCACAAATTGTCCCCAGCCCTCATTCGTTTTTAATAGCCAGTTATCATCTTACTCATTTCTCGTCTTTATTACGCAACTCCTTTTCCATTCATTGTATTCATATATTTACTTTGTTTGGACTTGAACTGCCTGTGTAAAAACTATACATCCGTAAAATTCTGAGCACTATTCACTAAGCATAGAACTTCGTATCAGCTGAAATCAGATAAAATTTGCAAGTATGTTAAAACGTTTCTGTATATAAACTTCATAATTTATTTAGGCTGTAGGCAGGTTATCAGAAGTCAACGAAATAAGCAATGATGGCGCCATATTATTTTGCACAAACCACTGTTGTTCTTGCTTTATTCATACTGGAAAAGTTTACATGATATCACATGTTAAGGGATACAGTTAACATAAATTGATGACAACGTATCAAGTACAGTTTATTGTCGATAATCATGTCAACGTATTCACGAGGCCTGATTTTTACTTTATATAGTGCTACTCCCCTCTGCTTTTTACTGCAACTTTCCATATATACGGCACTGGCGTTACGTCACTTCAACTGCAAAATGTTTAGTTGAATTAGGAATCAGTGATTAACCCCTTCGCCTAACTATATTGCTTTTCAATACCTTCACCATGTCTCGCCCTATGTTGTGACTACATTCAAGTGAATGCATTGCAGTGACCAAGATTTCCTTTTGACTCTTTAACTGAGCTGGGTCAGTCATTCTAAATTTATCTGCGTATTGACCTACAAACCTAAACCTTAACACTCTAGAGTTTGAATTGATGGGGTATGAGTTAGATCCTCAACTGGAATGCCATCAGTTACTCTGGATGGAAGTACATCTAAATAGTGAGTCCTGAACTGGACGAGATGCACCTTCTACATTCTACTTATAACCACTATCAACGTAATAAGATCATGGTTGATGAGATATTCACTGCGAAATTTTCACCTTCATGAATGATTTGTATGTATGCGAAGGTGTAACGAAAATGCTGGAGAGTTATTTCTTGTTACTTATCAGTCACAGTGATGGAAATAATCGGGCCAGTTAATTCTCCAAATGTCACTCTATATATGAAACAAAGAACATTTCATTCTACTTAATGTATTTTTTCCTGTATGCTAAGATCTATAGGTACATGTTTTTAAGGAATGGCAAATGTCTAACTGACATTTCATTTTTAGCAGACTTAGTAAGAATCCTACTCAACTTTATTCCTCACGTAAACGTGTTTAATCCTTAAATTATGCGGTAATGGTATGTTTGTATGAAATACTGAGTAAAGTAATTAATTACTTCAATCTCCCATTTTTTAACTTTACTACAGGGGACAGTTTATTGATTTTAATGATCGTGGTGTTCCATATGTTCAGAATCGCACTTGGAGAACACGTGATTTTAATTATGACAATGTTATTCACGCCATACTTACACTGTTTACAGTGACAACTGGTGAAGGATGGCCAGCGTAAGTGAAGAGGCATGTTTTATCTTTGTACATGCTTTAAAATATTTATAAAGTAAATTATATAATTTGTTGAAGATATCCAGCCAATAATAACAACAACATGCAGCAGTCACTATTAACGGGAGAAATTCGGCAGACGTCTGTTCTTCCACTTACCTAGGCAACATCATTTCAACTACATGCGGAAAGGACGCGGATACGAAGCCAGTCGGGAGTGGAAAAGTAAGACAAACATTCATTAATCCAAAATCAATATGGAGATCTGCTGCACTAGGCAAATGGAATGAGACTTGGGTTTTCTACAATGATTTCAAGTCAGTTCTTCTATACGGTCTAGAGACTTGGCACGTCACGAAAAGCATTTCGGTATACTGCAGACTTTTGTCAACAGCTGATTTGGTTGACTTGATTCTGAAGATAACATGATGGAACGGAATGGATAAGGAACAAGAAATTATGGAAGGCAATGAGTCAACAAAGAACTTATCACCTAAGAAATATGCTAAATAGGATGGAGGTAGATGGGCTACACACTGAGGTGACCGTTGAGGGACGTCATCTGCTAAGCCTTCGAGTGGAACCAGAGTGGGAAACAAATAGTTAGGCGTGAGTTTAACTGAGATTGACATAGAGGATAAGATGGACTCTTATGGTCAGTAATGGAGCCAGACAAAAGGAGCTACGGTGAATAGAATAAAAGATGTGTTTTTGAAGCTGTATATTCCACCCGAAACCCAAAAGAATCACAATGATAATAACGCGTGGTCTCTTCGTGCTTAACCTTACCTAAAGTTTCTTTGTTATTTTTATTGAAATCTCGATTTATCTCATTGAAATGACTTTAATACGTGGTACCCTATATAATGGTATTTAGTCTGTAATTAGCCTCAGTTTTACGTTTATTATAAGCGCCTAGGAAAATGCAGCACACAATTTTATGAGAAAGAATATTTCTTCTTTATATACTTTGATAGCCAGCTTAACTAATTAATCTGAAAAACGTCCTCGCGAGGACTGTGTCTTTCGGCTAAAACTATACAAGCACGTAAAATGAGACATGATAAGTATAAAATTCTGTCTTCACTCTAATTTTCTGATGGATCGCACTTATTAAATTATTATTAAAAATTTCATCAAACATATGAAGCTACTTATTCATTTTTAAGTAGGCAAAATAGTTAGAAATAAATCGTCAACGCAGTCTTCACTGATATTGTTTGCAGACATTTGAATATTTTCAATAAAGATTTCTTCACAAATTGATGACACTGGCTTCTGGCCCAATAGCTGAGTAGTAAGTGTGCCTGGTTCGCACAATAAAGATCGTGATAATAACCCCTGTTTGCATTATGAATGAGTACAGTTGAAGATTCCCAAACCATTTCGGAAAATCGGTCCATTGTCGCTTAAAATTATTTTTGTCTCGTAATACGACATTTACTGAAACTAATACTTTAAATATCACTTCAACAGGAAATGTTTTATGTTGAATTCAGCGACTGATATTTTTTATCTCGAAGGGAAAATTACTGTTACTCTAGGTCGTAATAATAATAATAATAATAATCCCAATTGAATTCACTAAGAGCGATGTAAAGTTGTCAGTCACTCACTGGCTCCTGGTATACAGTTTTCAAGGTAAATCATAAAGAAAAAACAAGAATTTAATGTGTAACTCATTCTATCACTAGTCATTTTATTTCTACAACCTCTTTCTTTAAAAATAACTGTAAGACAAAAGAAAATCAACCCTCAAGAGACAATATATGTCCACCCCATCTGTATTACTGAAACTTTAGACACTGAAATAGTCATGCCAGTGATAAGTATACAGAATCAATATCTCCAGCCACTTTTTCATGGTTTCTCTTAATCCACTGATGTCATATCATAAACAATGATAAAATTAAATAAAAATAGTTTTATTCCCTGAGGAAAATCACATTTTTCTGTTCCCATTTTCATTTTTTAGATTTCATTCTCTAAGTATTTTGTCAATTTACGCAATTTCTAATCTACATTGATAAACCCTTACTCCACCTACGCTCAACTTTTATCAATACTCGCTAATCTTAGCATTTTTGCACTTATTCTACTAGTATTTATGCCATTCATTTGTAGAACTTTTGAACACATTCACATTTTGAAATTGCGTGTGATTGTGATTGTACAGCTGCAGTAAAGCAAGATAATGAAAAGAGTCGCTCCCCTGAATCACGTGTTTTGTTCTTCTACCCGTCTCAATGATTATTTTGTATAAATTGATCTGTAATGAACGATAGTCCAAAATCACTGAGTTCGCCTTACATCTCCTAATTACTGAGATATTTCGTGCACATATTCGTCTAGCATCTTTTCTCAAAGCCGTTAAAAATGTACATAAATCCTGCTATCGGGGATAAAATTATGGTGTTCAGTTTCGCTGTCTACCTCAGCTTTATTCTTTGGAATACTAAATAATGTTATTCATCTTTCTTTCAAGACAGTTTGCTTGAATCATTAGGATATTTTTTCTAATTACCATTGTTTTAACCATTTAATTATATACTTGAGTCGCTGTATCACCTCATGTACATCTTCAGTTGGCTTTCAAACTACTGTACGTATATCTTTGAGATGAAGGAGGTCTATCATAAAAGTCTATCCTTCAAATTGAATACTACTCTGTCATATAACATTATACAGATTGAAAACATTTCTTTTCCGTTGTAAGTTTAGAGTAATCAACAACTGTGAAAAAAGCAGTGTAAGCTTAAATGGACTAATGGAACTGTAGAGAGATGGATTTATAGAAGGCCAACTTGGACGCGACAATTTGAATATTTCAGTAGCTTTATGCCAGTCCAATAAAATTTTAGCCTGGTTAGAACACTGTTTGACAGAACAACAAGGATATATATTCAAATAGCAGACTAGACTACGAAGCGGAATTCTTGAGGGAGACACTAGTGAGGAAAGGAGGGTATTCGGAAATGCTTATAAATAAGTATGCAAAAGACAACAAAGGAAAAAGAATATCAGAGACTGTTTCTAAAAAGGTTTACACAAAGTTACCCTACAAAGAAAATAATTTACTCAGTTGGTGAAACGTCTTAGAGAAGGTAATTTACGGAACCCATAGTGCATTTGATATGCTGCTCATAAACACAACAATAGGGATAGTGTATGAAACAAGGAAATTTAAGACATCGCTCCTCGCCATATCGGAATGCATTGGGCTTACAGAAGGTTGCCTTTCCCCTCGCGTCGCCGAACACTGCCGCAAATGCCGTTTTAGCAATAATAATAACATTCGAAAGAGCTCAGTCACACAATATCTATCGGATCTTGATAGTACGGTGACGTTGAGTAGGACTTCATAATTATTAAAAAGTATGGTGATAAAAAAAACTCTTCGTTTTTCTGGGGCCTGAACAATCAGATTAAAGAAACTATATCTGCATTTACAAAAGGAGACGGCATTTACCCTAAATATACCTTGATAACATACTTTTATTTTACCCTCATAATTTCCTTTCACTTCCCCCTTTCTATTACAATGTTTTTCCATTAGCATAATTATTTTATCAGACATACTCTTAGTTTACTTAAGGTGTCGGCAGACCGAAAATTACAGTTAAGTATTAATCTTAGTGAGGAGTGTTCAAACTATCTTATGAGTTTAGATTAGATAAGCTGAAATCTTCTTATTTAGTCTTGTATGATTTACTTTTATTAAATTCACTTATTTATTTGCGTTTTTCACGAAGCTTCCTTGTACTTCAATATTATTATCATCATCATCATATCTAGGTGTTTATAATTGTCAAGAGTTGGCTTGTTAAGATTAGATTTGTTTTTACGAGTTTGACCATGGATTGGTATCAATTAGAAAACCACTGAAAACTAGCAGGGAGTACTGGACAGCCAACTGTTTCATCCTAGTTTGAGAATCATCGGCAGCACGCACCCACCATAGGGGTTCGAACCCACGACCTCCCGGTTACAAGACAAGCTCGTATACTATTCAGCCACTGGGACCCGATTCAATGTCTCATGAAATCTAACTCTTACCAATTCGTGATTTAGCGCGATCACCAGCCAATGTCATCGGGGGAACTGCATCCACTCACTTGACTACTGGTTGGACCTCACTAGTTATGACTTCTCACTAGAACTCCACGAAACCTCTTCCTGTAATTGTATTAATTCGACCACAATAACTTCAGTTTACTTTTTAATATGGGCTTTGATGTATGTTATTCGCTGTAATAATGATATCAATAGATTATCACACATCACTTATAGATCGCATATTAGCTCATATTGATACATATTCGTCGTTGTAACTAACTTCATGTATTTGTGTGTATTTAACCTTAGAATATTATATATTAGTAGTAGTGTTTGTATGGCATTCATCTGATGAGCTGTACCGAAATTTGCAATTTCGGTGGCACAGTGGTTAGGACTCTCGCCGACTATGCACATAGTCCGAGGTTCGATCCGCTGCCGACGCACACCTCATATCTATGGTCGGCCTGAAAAATTTGGGCTACCGATATCCTTGCTGAAAATTCCATACTTGTACCAAAAATACAGTGTGGAATCAAGCTGTAATCAAAAATAAATAAAAAAAATAAAATAAAATTTCACTAAACACTGCTCTTTTCTCAGTTGTTACTTGTTTTATACCGTAGATCACAATTTTACTTGAAGATCATGAATGAAGACAGGATATTAGGCAGAAAATTACCCTGAAATTTTCTAATATTGCATAAACCTTTTTTGCATGACACATCTATTATTGTTATTAATATTATTACTACTGCCATCATTTATTTATTTTAGGGTTCTGAGAAATTCTATAGATTCTACAATAGCCGATCGTGGTCCAACTCCTGATTTCCGTCAAGAAATGGCTATTTTCTATGTGGTCTTCTTTATTGTATTTCCGTTCTTTTTTGTGAATATTTTCGTCGCTCTTATTATTATCACATTTCAAAATCAAGGTGAAAATGAATTAATTGAATTGGATTTGGATAAAAATCAGGTTAGTGAAATTATACTACTTAAACGTTTTTAAGTAATTTGTTTTGCCTGACTGATATTTTTTCCGGCTACATTTTGGCGTTTATCGCATATTCACTTATAATAGAGCTTGAAGTGACATGTAAATAATTTCCATTGAAGCAGATAGATTACATGATCTTATCACGATATGGTGATGTACTAATGCAAAAATAAGTTCACGATACTGATTTGTAAGCATTTGATTGATTTCAAGTGAAATCATGAACTGATGTTAGTTAGATAACCATTGAAAACCAGAACAACTGTCCCATACTTGTTTGATACTCTCACTCTTGTCCCTACAACAGATAGAAACCACGTTAAGAGGTTAGTCCTTTCACTGTTATTTCAACGAAATGTGACTACTTGAAGGATTTTGTTGAGTTCTGATGAGAGCGTAGTGATGAATTTGGTTTATAAATTCAGATATAAAGATAAATGCAACGGTGTTGTACATGTCGAATAGGCAGAAGTTACTACAGAAGTTACCACTGGATGCTGTCCCCGTGGCTGAATGGTTAATTGGCTCAATTCCCTGCCTGGAAGTCCTGGTTTGTATTCATGGGTAGTTTATTTGTGCGTGTTGTAGAAGAGTAGCCTACTAGAAAGAGACAACTATCCAGTACTTTTTGGATTTTCGGTGGTTCTCTAACTGGTGTCAGTTTCTTATCTGACTTAAGGTAAAACTTTGCTGGAAAATGGGCCAAAGTATCTACTTATCAGTGTCTTAAGATCAGTGAATGTTTTTCTGTGAATTCTGAACAAGTTTCAGCAATGAACAGCTGATCTACATAAGTTAGTCTAGAAATTCATTTAAGTGGAATGTAACGTTACTTCTCCTCGTCTGTCGTTAGAAGTAATTTTGAAATGCGGTACATATACGCCTAAAAATGAAATAGAAAGTGTTTGTCTTTCAAATGAAATGGAATTTGATGATATTTTACTATTTAACTAGGCCTCTTATTTTACTACTATGAATATGTCGTCGGCAGTCTATGTATCTTGACGAACAACTACTTGAACAGATAGGCAGCAAGTAGGTGGATAGAAGGTAGATTAGGAGACATACAGAAGAACATTAACCAAATAGGAAATGATGTTTGTTGCACGCCGTCACTTTAGATACCATATCGTAAATTCAAAGGTAATAATAAAGCGAAATGATGTAAATATTGGTTGACGGAAGTTAAAAAATAAAAGCAAAAAAAAAATAAAACAAATAATAAATTAAAATGTTAACTTGTAAGTGAATAAACAGGGCATAAATACGTGTACATTTTAATGTCGCATTGTTAACTTAAGAAACCAGACGTTTTAAAACTAGTTTTCTATGACTGAGAACAAGTGAAATGCGGAGGCGGGGAAGGGAACTCCTGTCTTCTGTCTAAAGTTAGGCGCAGATAGTTTTGGGCCTACTATCCGCATGATTGTTTCATACGTCAAAATTATAAGATGCGTTTAGAAGGTTTATAACTTTCGCTAATATTCACTTGGATACGTCGGTTGTCCTACGACAGATTGCTCGCCACCCACGGATATCGTCATCGGTTTGATCGTCGATAGACTCAATCTTAAACTTCTGTTTTTAGTAAGCCCAGCAAAGACAGAAGTCTCGGCGTGTAGTTGGCATTCCTACTTCGTAAAAAAGCCAACACTGACACCGCTCTTAAAATTAAAGCAAAGATAAAAATATTCAGTTGCTTCATTAAGTGTGGTGATTGAAAGCACATTGCTCTAGTTTTAGTATGAGAAAGGGTCGGCGAAGAAAATTTTCTTTTCGACGATTCATTTTAATAAGCTGTCTAATCGTAATAACATTTAACGAAGAAGTCATTAAACCATTGAGATATTGGTAAAATTTGTCCTTGAAAAACGTAATACGTAAAATAATGTGTAATCTAGAATGGGTGACTAATTGCATGTCAGAAAAGAGGCATGGCGTAATAAGTTTGGGATTATGACTAATCAGTAAGATTGTGTAGAATGGACAGAAACTAGTGGAAAGAAGATAAAATGTTTTATATAAAATCTCTAGAAAGTGCAATGTTATTAATAAGCACTAATAGAGTGATAATAAAATATGGATGGCGAGAATAATAATGATAATAAAATAACAATAATAATAGTAAACTTATGTAATAAAAGGAAGCTAAATTGTAGTAAGAACGTTATTCTGGCCATGGTAGAGCGAGTAAATGTATGTAGTGCTTTTAAATGCAGAGGTCCGTTTTCAGATCCCGAATAGCTAATGCTTCAGCTATGTACAGATGACGTATTTGAAGTCTCTTTGTACGATACTGAGGGACTATGTGTAGCAGTGTGCAGCATGCGGAGCTGATGCTTGATGTCTAGAGTTGACAAGGTTTTTCGAGGATGGAGCTGCTGATAGTCTTCTTTTCTCCTCTGGCTAACCAAGCTCAACAATGTTCCAGCATACGTTTGTACACCTGATGTATACATAGCGCAAAACTAACAGTATCTTTTACAGTGTGATTACATATTTCAATTTGTTCATGAGATTATTAATATTTTAAAAAATATTTCACCTAAATGTGTATCAATAACAGCACAGTTGAACTGTCTGTTCCGTGTATTTGAAGTGTCTATTTTTGAATGGCATCTGTAAGGTATAAGTATGCTTCAATCACGATTTGTATTAGTAAGAAAACTCCATTGTTATAAACACCCATCTAGGTTTTTGGTTCATTTGTGCTTAATACATGTTTAAAACTTGGCCACTGTGGTAGTAAGTAATTCCACATTAGTTTATTTATCAGATGTATCACACAGTGAAACAATATTATTTACTGGATAATCCTGCTTTTATGTGAGTATTCACCTCGTGCAAGTAGTCTGTTGCACTGTTGCATTTCTTTTGTCTGGCTTTGTGATTATATATCCTTGTTATTCTTAAGGTATTTCAGGGCTTCTATCTCTTGTTTTGTCAGGTTAGGCTTTCCACATTTTTGTCGTTCTGATGTAAGTGCATATTGTGCCTGTACTTCTTCAGCCGTTGCTTTGTCTATCCCACTTAGTGCTTCTTCTATTTTAGGGATGACATCCTCAGGTTTCAGCTTGTCAACCGCTACATTGAAATTTAGTCCCTTTTCTAGTACACTTATTACTATGGGACTTAATATATGTATTGAGAGACTGATAACCCATTTTGTTTCATCAACCGCCGTTGACTTCATCGCTCTGAGATGAAGATTTCTCCTCTAATAATTTATTGAACTTTTTAATTTGATTATTTCCTGACTTTTTGAAAGTTGCTGATTTTGTATTTCTAGAGGACTGTGTTATATGATCCTAATCTACATTGATAACTATTCCCCATTAGCTTTTGCTTTAATTGATCAATTTCACATCTGATATGTTATAAGCTTTCAATGATTCAGTGGATCTCTTCTTTCAGGCATAATTTTTGTAGGCTTTCTATTCTGCTTCTAACTCTGTCGCTTGGAACTGGAACTTGTAGACGTAGGTATTTAGGAATTATTTCATTTTTTAAGCCTCGAATGTTGAAAATACCACGATTTTCATATCTTGCTTCAGTTTGTGAAAGTGGAGTGAGTTTATTGATAAGTCTTAGTACAGAAAGACCATGAGTCATATTAATATATGTGTAAAACTTGGGCACTGTGGTAGTAAGTAATTCCATATTAGTTTGTGCTTAGTATCATAGGTGGTAAGAACAAACCACTGTATAAATAACGAACTTTTTATGAAAGGCACTTGAATGACAACTATTTCATAGTTTGAACAAAGCAACAACTACAGTTTTAGCAGAATAAAATAGTACCATCTTTCATTTCGTTGCCTTCTCGTCAGCTGCTTACATGGCAAAGACATAGTTCACAGTGCATTTAGTTAATGGCGAAAATTTTCTAATGTATTTCTTTTTAAGTGATCTGTTTCCTTGACATCGTTTCGACTTAATTACTTAAAGCTATCTAATAAAAACGAACTACTTCCGGTGACTATATGCTACAGTGGCAATTAACACTACTGTTACGCTATACTCACAGCATGTTGGTGATACTCATAGGCACAGGGACTTAGATATATTACTTTTTGATCATTCATGTCATAAGAGTCTGAAATGTAACAAGTTGTGTTTTGGTTTAGTTCTGGAATTATTTAGAAGTGGGCAGTTACAACCTTGTGAGATATCAAGCTTAAGATTGTTGTATTTCCAGGCAGACACATTAGTATCACAACAATGAATCCATCGGAGACGAATAACTAATAAATTGTAATTCATGGATTCGAAATTCCCGCCTTATCTTCTCGTTGGAGCGTGTGTGAACAGTTGTAGAAAGTTTTAAATTAGAGAAACAGATTTTATAGCCTCAGTGCGATCCGACAAGATATCCTTAGTCACTCTCTCGCTCACTCCGACTGTTTTGCTCTTTCAAGTACTGGTTTCTAGGAATTTAATTGATTGGTTACATAATTTCTTCATGAGGTAACACTGGTTAGAGAACCATTAGAAAACCTGGGAGTACTGGACAGCCGTTTCCCCCTAGTTTCAAACTCTTCATCAGTACGCACCCACCGGGGTATGGGCAGTGCCTCTGGGATCAAAATATTAGTGTGTCTAGACACTGAACTACTTTATGCATTCACTTATAGCCACTTTTAATTTAGGCTACGTGTTTTATAAGGATGTGGATTAAACATAATGTAGGTTTCATCACAAACGATTGTCAATAAGAGAATTATTGAAAACCAGGAAGTACTGGTTGGCTGTCTGGTGCTAAATTGTCACCGTTCAGAAATATGCATCCATGATCCTACCAGAAATGGAACATAGATCCCCTATTTTATGAGGCCAGACCATTTTGTTTTAATTTATATGATTACATATTTTTACCAGTGGTTATCTGTTAACGTTGCAAAAAATATTGCCTAAGTCAATGTGGCTAAACAGTTTAAACTAGAAGAAGTAAACAACTTAGACTTTCAGTATTTCTTTTCCCATTTCAAAAGCGTGACTAGAATTCATTCTGTAAATTTTCACCTCTTTCATTATTGTACTAAACTCAAAAGTACAGAAAAATGAAACCCTAATACCACAAGCTTACCAACCTCTAACTAACTATGTAATGAATGCGCTATCATACGTTTTAAAAAAAGACTTTTGACAAAAATATCAGCTAGTGTGGCGTAATCAAGTCCTTGTATATAAAACAGTCTTATGTCTAACTTACGCCATTCATTTAGATTCTACTTAACACTAATGAATAATCTTGACATCTTTAAAACAATGGAGAATACCTGTGGCTCAAAATTCGAATGTCCTTTTCATCCCATTGATTGTTTTATATCGTATTCGTGGTGTTTTAATCCAAATGTTGTTTACTTCTAAAATTGACCATTTCGCTGGCAGTTTCCTAGGTGAGTACTGATAAGAGTCCAAAAATAGGATGAAACAGCTGTCCAGTACTCCCTGGATTTCCAATGGTTCTCTAAACAATATCAGTTCATCATGAAATCCTGTAACTAGTCAAATCAATTCCCGGGAAATCAACACTTGAGTCTCCTACGTGTTTCAAAGACATTCAACTATACATAACATTACAAAAGAATTATAGTTCAAATATCAATATCGGAATGGCTTAGTGACATGCTGTGTATCATTAGTCGACTACCTTGGACGAGTCGTTTATTGGATCATTTAACAAATCCAAAATTTTGATGTTTCTTTTCTTTAAACTGGAAAATTCTACAACTACTCAGAGAACAAGTAGTTTCATCTGCAGAAATAAGTAACGGTTTGAAAAATTTGGGCATTGGGTTTATGATATTCATTATAATAGAGGTTTTTTGTATTTCCCAATGAATGAAAAACAATCTCGTTTTGTTTTTTCATTCATTGGGAAATACAAAATACCTCTATTATAATGCAGAAATAAGTAGTTTAAAGGAAATTTAGAGTAGCGCTAGGAATCTGCATGTTTTAGAGACCTTTTTGGTCTTCTGAATGATTCCTGATAGCATTTCTTAAACATATGGTGGTGTTTTTATCACTAGATGAGCAATGAAAGATTAACTTTTATGTAATGTTAGAAGCAGAATTACGATGTGAATTTTACTTCAGTGGAACCCTATCTGTAACCCTAACATGAATTGTAATTAACTAGTTCTGACCACACTACTAACTAAGAACAACTGGTCATTTCAACGGTAACTGACTTCTTTACTTTCACCGGATAAATGGTTTGAGTGCAGGTACATACTGCAACGATTTAATTTGATTCTTTACGAAGTGCTCAGTTTTTTTTGAAAAAAAGAGAGAACGAACAAATTTTACAGGTTAGAATGGGGCTTGTTTTTTATTTCACGACTTTTCGTCACCTAATAACAGCCTACAAAATGGGCCAAATTATTATAAATGCAAAAATATATACAATATACTTCAAAATCATTCCAAAACAGAGGGTATATTTGTGGAACAAGGGATAGCCGTGTTGATTGGATACAAATTAGTAACTAGCTTAGTATTTCTATAGTCTTATGTTCGGTGCAGACTGAATTCTATCAGTCAAGTTTGCAAAGTCAAAGTGCATTGTGATAGCAAGCCACCTAGAATGGTAGCCACATTGCAGACTTGACTGACTGATTGAATTCAATCTGCACCAAACAAAAGATTAGACGCACTACACTAGTTACTAAATAGTGTCCAGTAAAATTATCCAATACAGTCCTATAGGAGGTCAGTCGTGAGCCCAAATAATGCATTAATAGGCTTGAACCTCAGAAAAGACTGTGTTCCTTCAGACATAGCGAGTGCCAACAAGCACGAAACCTAGATCCAAGTCTTTCTGGTGATATCCTTCAACCATCTAATATCAACAGGAGATAGACAGTTAGCAATCTAAAAACCAGAGTTTAAGTATACCTTATGGATGGAAGATTCAAGGAGAGAGGCTAGAAGTAAGGGGAAATGGTAGATAAAATTAAAATTATTAAGTAAACAAACAGTCAAGTGAATTGGAAAATTAATATATTGATTTCAGCCCAATGAGCTGTGATAAAAAAAATTGGAAGCAACGCAGAAACACAGTCGAAGCACCTAGTGACCAGAGTATTCCGACTCTAAGCAATCTATCTTATAGTATACGTTGAAATTCTTTGATAACATTGGCACCTGTGAAGCGAAGAAGCCAAGTAAATTGATTATTTTGAAGACTCGATTGATGTCAGTTGAATGGTTTGCGTAAATTAGCTGCTAGCAATCGGACTTATAAACACTTTCTTGCTTTCTGTATGGAGATTGTTGGAGACATCCTAAAAAACTCTAGTGAAGGTTTTCCTGTCAATCTTTCCTATGTTCTTACTAATTCAGGTGCATGTGAAGTGGTAGTTTTCTGTCAGAACGTTTTCCACTTAATAAATTATATTACTTTTTTTATCCTGTTATATTGTAGAAACGCTGTATTGATTTTGCTATCAATGCAAGACCATTATGTCGCTATATGCCCAAAGATAAACGTTCAATGAAGTATCGTGTTTGGCGGCTTGTTGTTTCTACTCCATTTGAATATTACATAATGGTTATGATTGCAATTAATACATTAATCTTAATGATGAAGGTTAGTTTTTAGCGAAGATTGTTCACTGATTTATAATTTTTGTTTTACTAGTTTGAGTGTAACGGTTGTATTAACACGATTCAACTTATTGTGAGTTTTCTTTTCAACAAACGATTCCACCAGGAGATCAGTTGCTTATATCGGTTCATGACAAAATTTACATTGTAGTTTATTGAAATCCTTGTGAAATCTAAGGTCGCAATATAAATCTCCAGCTCGTTAATGGCTGTAAGATAGGTGTTCTGAAATTCTCATAAGCAGTCGTAGCAAGTACGTTTCACCATATCATTAAACAACAGAGTTCGGATTCACAGGTCATCTAATTACGACCCAGTGGCATGGCCTTGTAACCTGGGGGTCCACAGTTTGATCCCTTGTGAGGTCACGGGCGAGTGCTGATGAGGAGTTTCAAGTGGGGATAAAACACCTGTCCAATGATTCTTGACTTTCAATGACTCCCTAACTGATATGACTTGATGATGAATTCCACACATGGTTTTTTGTTTCTTTACATTCCAATTAAAAATATGGCTTCAAGCTAGAGGCATGAAGTTTTGGTAGCAGTGGTGTTTATTTTTACAGGACGGAGTCATTAGCCTTATGCCCAACCTTTTCCTTTACCAGTCTTAATACTGGCTTAGTGAGGTGTTTTAGTAGTCAGGCCGAGGATCGAACCCCGCACCACCTGCGACCATTCTACCGTCGTATCAACGATGTGCATATGGTTATTTTATGTTTATTAGGTCATAATCTAGAGTAATGGTATTTAGTTTATCAAGACGGAGGAAACACTAGACTTTCAACTTTAGACTTTTTGAAGGGAGCCGAAAATCCTAGAAAAATATACGTTAGTGACTCATCTGCTGTCTGTGTGATGAAGTTTAGCTGCAGAGAATGTTGTATCTCCATGAGTTTTGTAGTGACCAAAGACACCAGCTGATTTTGACAAGAGGTTATTTACTCGCCTATTACATTGACTGACGGTTGTGCTAATTATCATGGATTGTCATAAGCTTGAATTCATTGACCACTGGATTGAGTTCCAGTGGTCGGATGGTCCAAGAGTTCCTGGGTTGGACCTCGAGGGCTCATGGGTGCCGAAGCATCCCAAACTAGAACAAAATATCCATCTGGTTCTCCTTGGTTGTCCAGGTATTCTCTAAATAATGTCAGCTAGTGATAGAACCTGTAGCCGATGAAATCCTTGAAAACTAACACCTCTGTGACAAAAATTTCACTTAAACACATGCCATTCCTTAATATCTTACTGTGCATGCGAACACACTAGCTTATGTTTCCAAACAATACAGATATTTGGAACAAGAATAATTACAGTGAACAGTTATTCTTCAAGCTTTACATTGATAAAGCTATCGGTGTTACCATACAGTATATCCCCTATGAACAAATTAAAATTACGTCAGTAAGTGTAATGTGGTACAGGCACAAGATGGAATAATCATCATGATGATAATAATAGTCAGTTTCGTTCTGACGAGTAGATCATGGAGAGAGAGAGAGAACGATTGAAAACCAGGGAGTATTAGACAGCTGCTGGGGTCGCGCTATATCACGAATTGGTAGAAGATAGAATTCATAGGCTAGCCATCGAATCGGGCCCCAGTGGCTGAATAGTATATGAGCTTGCCTTGTAAACTAAAGGTCCTCGGTTTGAACCCTAGTGGGTGCGTACCACCGATGATTCTCAAACTAGAATGAAACAGCTGTGCATCACTCCATGGGTTTTAGTGGTTCTCTAACTGATATCAATCCTTGGTCCAAATCGTAAAAACAAAACTAATCATTACAAACCAACTATAGCAATTAGTTGGTGTCTGTTATAGCTTGAGTGCACAAAAACGTAACGTAGATAAGAACGCGAGATAAAATAAAGTTGTATAGTTCAATGAGTTGTCTGTGTAATTGTAATAAAAAAAGTAGATTTTTCAAGGGGTGCATCATAGGCAACGGTATAAGTGAAAATATAAATAAATTGATGTGATTTTAAAAGGTTGATAAACAACAGTTATAATGATAAAGTACTAGCAGTGGTGCCATGTGGTGTGAATACACTAACACGATTAGTGTCCGTTTATCAAACACTGAAGAGTTTCCTATAGTGAAAACAGAATGACAGCGTAAACACTACGCCTAATAGGGAAAGGTCAATAAGTTATAAAGCACCTGAAAAAAGGGCTGGCGGTGAAAAATGTGGAGAAATAAAAGGGATGGAATGAGGATTTAAATTCTCAAGCATCAGTTCAATTCAGCGTTCTAAGGACACCACTGATGAACTGGGTCTTAAGCCAGCTAGGTAGCCATCTGATGCTTATATGCGATCTTTTTAGCTAGTATTAGCTAACTACTCGTCTCAGTTAATCAGTAGTACATACCACCAAGATAAGTACATGTTTAGCTGCATAGAATGATCTCTCAGGGATTCTGTTGAGTCTATATTTTAGAATATGAACGGTAATTTCACCCTTGTAACTTAATAATAATTTGCTTTATTCCAAAACAGTACTTGTGATACAGAATGGAATTCTCAGCATTTTACTACAGCATTGCATCCAGTTAGTAGATTATCAATAAATAAAATTCTACATAGATTAAGGTAATCTCAGTTCACTATGACAACAACATATTAGCATGTTGGTAGCAAAGCCAAAATTGAACAGATTTTTTGAAGGTGTTGGAAAACTAGCTGCTAGCATATCTACTGGCATAAGTTGTACCGAAAGGTCGAGATATACAGAGTGTGAAATAGAGTTGATAAAAAAAGAGAAACAAAGCAGCACATAACAACAAAAATGGAGAAAAGGAAAAGAAAGATAGAAAACGTTGTGCCTATAAATGATATAAGTTGGAAAGACGAGTTCCAGTTGTGCTACTGATTATTTAATAAGTTATACGTATCACGCCTAATGCTTTCTTTATCGCACAGAACACGAGTTAAGTATTGTATGGTTGAGTTTCTGTACTTACTAGTGTGAGCATATAGTTTTCTATGTAGGCTTCTGGTTCTGCCTGATGAGATACAGGGGGAGAGTTGTGAATGAAGAGGGTGGCATGAGTTAGATAAAACATTTGCTTATGTATGGAGTTTAAAATTAATGGATCTCTAGGACAGGATATGTACGTTTTCAAGAAGTTCTTTGGATAGTCATTTTCTTGTAATATAAGTTTCATTTTAGACATTCAAATCTATGCAATTGTCTGAATCTACAGCTAAGGTATTTAACTAAGTATCCTTTCTATTGAAATAGAGTGAAATAACTGAAACGGTTGTGCTGACCAATCTAGATATTCTTTCTAAATGAACTTCTCTTCAAATATTCATCACGGATTACAAACATTGGATCATATGAATCATTAATAAGACGGTTTCAGTGAAGAAAATTTTCTTTTCGACGAAGTCATCAACTAGTCGGTAACATTCGTGTATTTATGTTAAATATGTGAGAAAGTTACAGAATTCTTTCCGGTCAAAGGTTAAATTAATAAAATTATTAACTGTAATAAACAGGAAATAGGAAGGGACACTATTCTAGAAATATTTCAGGTCAAAGGTCAAATTAAAATTACGTTATGTAGTAATCAAAAAGATTGGGTAGAATGTGAAGAATGTGAACAACAGACAGCACAAAATATAAGTACATCTGCATATCCGATGAGCATTAAGAATTGATAACAAACATTTTTGCAGAATGTCTTCTTCCATTACTTAAGACGTGCGCCTGTAACAGCAGAAGACAAGAGACTTGGTAACGGAATGCCTATTTGAAATTTGGAATCTCTATATGGCGAAATTGCACCTCGTCTGCAAATCATCATTTGCATAGGTCTTCCGTGGTGTACTACCTCTCTGTCTTCTTTTCATGTCTCCTACGTTATGCAGCAACACTGGTTCATTTGCTCTTTTTGACTTCATTTCTATCTCTGCACTATTCTATATTTTTATGCCAATGAATGTCCTTGACATACTCCTCAAAAATCTAATCAGGAGCACAAATCATACGCCTTTGTAAAGGCACACTTAATCAGGGGTCATAATTTTTTTTAATTTTGACTTATCGACATGAACAAACAGATTATTATTATTATTATATCCTTTAATTCTTAGAGGAACATAAGGCTTCAGCTGAGCACCTCCACTGCCTTCTGTTTTCTGCCAACTTTTTCACCCCGCTCCAAGTCTGCTCACATGTTTCATCTCCTCTTCACATGACCTCCTCTAAGTCACCCTCGCACTGACGACCAACTCACCGCTTTCCTTTTGGGTTCCACTCAAGCAATAGCTTGTCTAGTGATGTCACTTGATGGTTTCCTCAGCGTATGGCCAGCCAATTCATCTCCACTACTTCCTGCCTATTTGTTTCGCAATCGGTTCCTGGTTGGTTCGCTCATTGCCAGAGATCCCTGTTGCTGATCTCTTCTGACTGGCCATCTGAACTTGAGTATTGAGAGAAGACAACTGGTAATAAAAGTCTGTAGTTTGTTTGAGATGCTCTTTATGACGCGCTAGCCAAGTCTCTGATACGTGTAGTAGCACTGACTCACTTCACATTGGAGTTGAAAATCCGGATCTTATTTTTGATGCTGAGTGCTGTTGACCTCCACACAGACTTGAGAGTAATGAAAGCTTGTCTTGCTTTTCCGATTCTGGCTTTGATATCCTCGTCAGTTCCGTCCCCCTGTAGTTGTAACGATGCTTCCCAGGTAGGTAGGTAAAGGATGTTGTTTCTTTCAAGTTCCTCCCAATTATGCAGGCTGATTGTTGTCTGTTGTTGTTGTTGCTGTTGGTGTTGACCAGGAAACTTCATCACCTCTGTTTTATCTATGTTCACCTGAAGTCCTATCTTTGACACCTCTTCTGCCAACTTGTCGCTTTTCACTTGGATATCCTACAGTTTGTGGGAAATCAGACATAAATCATCGGCGAAGTCCAGTTCCTCCAAGTTTTTTGTATGAGTCCATCTTATGCCGTGAAGAAACAGAAC